CAAAAACAAATGGAGGTTGGGCTGGAGTCCTGGTATGGTGCTGTAGGATAAGCATTGGACTGTGAACCACAAGGTTTACAGTTCAAACCCATCAGCTGCTCCTCAGAAACCCTATACAGGGTCGCTGTAAGTCAGAACCGACTTAACGGCACTTAACAACTACAACAACATGGAGGTTGGAGTCCTCGTGTGGCCCTGTAGAAAAAGTACTAGATTGCTAACCTCAAGGCTGATAATTCAAACCCTCCAGCTGCTCCTCCAAAACCCTATATACAGTGCTGCTATGAGTCTATGAGCACTTAGCAACAACATGGAGGTTGGGAAGCCCTTGTGGCACTATAGGACAAGCACTGTACTGTGAACCACAAGGTAGACAGTTCAAACTCACCAGGTGCTCCTTAGAACGATGAGACTTTCTGTCTCTTAAAGCTTTACATCAAGAACATCATACAGGAAGAAAGCAAAAAGTCATTAAGAAGAAAAGAAAGAAGGAAAAGTTCAAAATGGATGTCAGAAGAGACTCTGAAACTTGCTCTCCAGCATAGAAATGCTAAAGCAAATATAAGAAATTAGGAGGTACAAGAGCTGAGCAGAAAATTTCAAAGGTCAGCTCAAGAAAACAAAGTCAAATATTATAACAAAATGTGCAAAGATCTGGAGTAAGAAAACCAAAAGGGAAGAACACGCTCAGCATTTCTCAAGCTGGGGGAACTGAAGAAAAAATTCATGCCTCAGCTTTCGTTATTGGAGGATTCTCTGGGGAAATCATTGAATGATGCAGAAAGCATCAAAGGAAGATGGAAGGAATACACAGAGTTACTGTACCAAAATGACATTTTAACAGGTAGCATATGATCAAGAACCAATGATACTGAAGGAAGAAGTCCAAGGTGCACTGAAAGAATTGGTAAAGAAGAAGGTACCAGGAATTGATGGAATAAAAATGGAAATCTTTCAAGAAAGTGAGGTGGCACAGGAGTCACTCACTCATCTCTGCCAAGAAATTTGGAAGACAACTATCTGGCCAACTGATTGGAAGAGATCTGTATTTGTGGCCATTCCAAAGAGAGGTGGCCCAACAGAATGGGGAAATCATCAGACAATATCTTTGATATCCCATGTGAGTAAAGTTTTACTCAAGGTAATACAGAAACAACTGCAACCATACATTCACAGAGAACTTTCAGAGATTCAAGCTGGATTCAGAAGAGGATGTGGAATGAGGGACATCATTGCTGACGTCAGATGGTTCTTGGTTGAAAGCAGAGAATACCAGAAAGATGTTTACCTGTGCTTTATTGACTGCACAAAGGCTTTCGATTGTGTGGGTCATGACAAGCTATGGAGAACATTATGAAGTATGAGTATTCCTGAACACTTAATTGTGCTCATGAGGAATCTGTACATGGACCAAGAACAGAACATGGGGATACCTAATGGTTTAAAATTAGGAAAGGTGTGTGACAGGGTTGTATTCTTTCGCCATACTTATTCAACCTGTATGCTGAGCAAATAATCTGAGAAGCTGAGTTATAGGAAGAAAAACATGGCATCAGGATTGGAGGAAGACTCATTAACAACCTGCAATATGCAGATGATACAACCTTGCTTGCTGAAAGTGAAGAGGACTTCAATTACTTACTGATGAAGATCAAAGACCACAGTATGGATTGTACCTCAATGTAAAGAAAACAAAAATCCTCACCACTGGACCAATAAATAACATTCGTATCAATGGAGAAAAGACTGAAGTTGGCAAGAACTTCATTCTTCTTGGATCAACAATGAACACTCATGGAAGCAGCAATCAAGAAATCAAATGACATATTGCATCAGGCAAATCTGCTGCACAAGACCTTTTTTTTTAAAGTGCTGAAGAGCAAAAATGTCAGCTTGAGGACTAAGGTGTACCTGACCCAAGCTACGATATTTTCAATAACCTCATATGCATGTGAAAGATGGACGATGAATAAGGAAGACCTTAAAGAATTGATGCATTTGAGTTATGGTGTTAGAGGAGAATACTGAAAGTGCCATGGGCTGCCAAAAGAACCAACAGATCTGTGTTGGAAGAAGTGCAGCCAGAGTGCTCCTTGGAGGAATGGCCAAACTTCATCTCTCATACTTTGGACATATTGTTAGGAGGGACCAGTCAATGGTGAGTGATGTCATGTTTGGTAAGGTGGAGGATCGGAGAAAAAGAGGTAGACCCCTAGCAAGATGGATTGGCAAAGTGGCAGCATCAATGAGTTCAAGGGTGACAATAATTGTGAGGTTGGCCCAGGACCGGGCAGTGTTTTGTTCTTTTGTGTGCAGGGATGCTATGAGTCAGTACTGTCTCAATGGCACCTAACAACAACAACAACAAAAATTTACAGCTAAGGTTAACCTCATCTTTCTCCTGCCAAACGACTTTGAGATTCGAACTACTGACCACTACACTACTAGGGTTCCTTTGGAAACCCTATACAATGTCACTATTGTGAGACCACCGTAACTAAAAATATCAAAGGCTTGCTAAAAATACCAAAGGCTTAGGCTATCTAGATGGCTCAGTAGAAAAATTACTGAGAGGACCTGCATGCAGATAAGCAGGGAATGGCTACAAGAGGACCTGCGTGCAGATAACCAGGGAATGGCTACAAGAGGACCTGCGTGCAGATAAGCAGGGAATGGCTATAAGCAGGGAATGGCCCTGAAGAGCAACATGTGCTAAGCTGTGATAACCGCAACATTACACTTCTGTATATAGCTTGCTTGCTCAGCACCCCCTTCAGTAAAATTCCATCTCACCCCAACTCCAGTATATATATATATATATATATATACTCCAACTTGCTGTACGACCTTAGGGCTGCTGCCACTCCTCAAATGGCACAGCCCTTGCGCAGGAATAAAGCTCTCTGCTTCAAACTGACCTCCGTGTAGTGGTGCCAGTTCTTTGGGGTATAACAGCTCTGAGTCAGAATCTACTTCATGGCCATGGGTGGGTGGTCATAAAAGCTGGAGAAATTTTTACTTTTACTGCCCTGCCTCAGTTAGTCCTCTCATAATGTCTGGTCCACAGTGTCAAGGTCTCCCTGTTGTTGTTTGTTGTTAAGTGCCATCAAATCAGTTTTTACTCATAGCAACCCTGTATAGGGCTTCCAGGGAGTGGCTAATGGGTTTGAACCATTGACCTTGTGGTTAGCAGTACTTACCCTTTAGCACCACAATAAGACTTCAAGGTCTACCTGAAGCTGCCAGTCGAGACTTGTCAGTTCTGACTCATGGCAACCCCATGTGTGCTGGAGTAGGATTCTGCTCCATAGGGTTTTCAGTGACTGCTGTTTTGGAAGTCAGTCTGGAGGCTTTTCTTCCAAGGTGTCTCTTGTTGTTGTTGTTGTTGTTGTCAGGTGCCATAGAGTCGGCACGGACTCATAGTGACCCCATGCACAGCAGAACGAAACAATGTCCAATCCTGGGCCAACCTCACTACCACTGCCACACTTGAGTCCATCGATGATGCCACCTGGCCAATCCATCTCGTTAGAGGTCTTCCTCTTTTTCTCTGACCCTCCACCTTACCCAGCATGACATCCTTCTCCAACGATTGTTTTCTGCGGACAATATGTCCAAAGTATGAGAGATGAAGCTTAGCCATCCTGGCCTCCAAGGAGCACTCTGGCTGCACTTCTTCCAAAACAGATCTATTGGTTCTTTTGGCAGTCCATGGCACTTTCAGTATTCTCCTCCAACACCACAACTCAAAGGCATCAATTCTTCTACGATCTCTAGGTAGATTCTAACCACCAACTTTCCTCTTAACCATTGGTGCCTCCTAGGGACTCCCCCGACTCCTGCTGTGGTGCTGTAGGATAAATACTGGACTGCTAACTGAAAGGTCAGCAGGTTCAAACCCACCAGCCACTCCTTGGAAACCCTATAAAGGATCACTGTGAGTCTGAACCGATTCCACGGCACTTGACAACAGGGACTCCACCGGAAGTGTGATGGTTCTGTAAAAGAAGCTCTGGACTGCTAACCACAAACCCACCAGCCACTCCACAGAGAAAGATAAGGCTTTCTGCTCCCGCAAAGATTTACAACCTCAAAACCCCTAGGTCACTGAGTCAGAACCACCTGTAAGGCACATAATGACGATTCCACCTGGGGTCCTAAGGCCAGATGTTTAAAACGGAGTTGGAAGTAGGAAAAAGGAGAAAAATCTTTGAGCTATTATTTTTCCAGGTTCTAGGCTACCTGAAAAGGATCTCTGGTGGAGAAGTGGTTAGGCACTGGACTGATAACTGAAAGGTTGAACTCAGCAGAGCTCCTAGGGAGAAAGCTATGCCAGTCTGTTTCCATACAGATCGCAACCTTGAAACCCTGTGGGCCATTCTACTCTGTCCTATAGCGTCGCAATGAGTCGGAATGAACTCGAAGGCAACGGTTATGTTTGTTTGTGCAGCCTGGTCACTTATAGAGGGACCAACGGCGGTAAAGAGTTCGGTAACGGGACCCGCAGTAGAACACACCCCGAACTCACTCTGCTCCCCAGTTTCCAATCCAGAAAAACTGATACTTTCGCCGTTTTACCTAAGACTAACACACCACCTTGCCCCGCCCCCACCCGTACCCCTGTCCTTTCCTCCTAAATCCGCAAAAGGTCTGAAATCTCCGGAAGTGCACTCAGCCTAGCTCCCTGCAGCCCTGAGACTCGGGTCCCCCGGTCTCCTAGGGTAGCGAGGAGAATCTATGAGACCCTGCTGTATCCACCTATTCTTTGGCCTCACTCTATGCCAGGCCCCCTTTATCTTCTCACGGCTGCGCTCCGCTGGGGAAGCGTGGCTCTTTCCCACAGCCCAGCTTTACCGGGCGCAGGTTCGGGCTAGTCTAGGGCGGGGACTTGGGAGCGCCTTCCAGTAGCGCGAAGGGCGGGGACGAAGACCCATCTCTTTAAGGGCCGGGTCTGGCCCCGAGGCGCCTGGACACCGCTGGCGGCTTGGGGAGGTCCGAGTGTCGCGTGGGACCCGACTCCGCTTCCCTGCGCTGCCCGGGGCGCAATGGGCCGCTACCGTATCCGTGTGACTACCGGAGCCTGGATCTTCTCCGGGTCTTACAACCGCGTGCAGCTGTGGCTGGTTGGAGCGCGCGGGTCGGCGGAGCTGGAGCTACAGCTGAGGCCGGCGCGAGGCGAGGTCGGCGGCAGAGCGGGGCCGGCTGGGCTGTATTTAAACGGGAGGGCAGGTTCAGATCCAGGCGAGGCTACAAGTGGGACTGCGCCTTGCTGGAATTTAGGGAGTTGGGGCACCGCCGCGGAAGGCGGAGCGGGGCGCGGGAAGAGGGTCAGGATCCCTGAGTTCAGACTGAGACTCCAGCTCCTTCTCCCTACCCTTGACTCCAACTCCTTCCTTCTCCAAGTGATCCCGAAGCCCGTACAGAAATGTCATTCGTGGTCAGACGTAATAAGAGCAGAGAGGTACCGTTCTTGTCGTTCTGATGAAATAAATGGGCGTCCAACCTAACCTGAGCTGCTCCTCTAACAACAAGGCCACTCCACGCTCCCTGCTACTAAGTCTTGCGGGTTCTGGTCCCACAGGAGGAGGAATTTGAACACGATACTCTGGAGGACTTGGGGCCACTGCAGTTCGTCAAGTTGCGCAAACACCACTCCCTGGTGGACGACGCGTGGTTCTGCGACCGCATCACGGTGCAGGGCCCTGGGACCAGCGCGGAGGCTGCCTTCCCATGCTACCGCTGGGTGCAGGGCCAGGAAATCCTGAACCTACCTGAAGGCACCGGTGAGGGGGCTAGGGTGGGAGTGCGGTGTAGGTCGGGGAGTGGGAGTGCAGGACTTCAAAAACCTGCTGCAGGACACAGGATAGGAAAGGTCTGAAAGATCTAGTGAAGGGGTGGGCAGAGGTAGGATGCTAGAGAGCAAATTGGAAAATAATGTCAGGAATGTTTGCATGGGATACAAAAGATGGAGTCCAGAAATGCATGATGTAAAGATTCCATCTTCAAGGTGAGGACAGAGATCCGAGTTGAAGCAATGATGAGAGACAGAAAAAGTCAAAGTGTAAAGGCAACCTCTGTGACTCTGTGACAAATTAGAGCCAGGATAGGTAAGGGTAACACATGGCACAGCAGGTGACAGGTGGTAGGTAAGCAGGAGATAGCTAAGAGAGACAAACACTATGACACTGTTGAGCTAGTAAGGTTGGGAAACTAAGAAAGAACTGTAGGGGTGGGAGATCACATTGGCAGGGGTGGGGATGAAGGATAGAAAGTGCTGAATTCGCTACTGTGAGAAAAAGGGAAGGCAGATGACTATAAAGCGAACTGAGGGCACAAGGTAGGTATGGATGGGACATGAACTGTGTGTCTTTGAGGGACAAATGGCAAAGTACAGATTAGCGGACGAATGTACTAAATATAGACTATCACAGAAAATCGGTTAAGGAGAAATCAGGTAAAGAAAGTAAGCATGGAACATTTTGAAGACAGGTAAAGGTGTGGATAGGTGAGGCCAGGGCAGGTGAAATTAACAAAGCAATATGTAATCAAAGATAGGTGTGGGCATATGAGTTAAGATTTTATCACTTTAATTAAGGTGATCTATACTCCTGGTGTGGCACTGTAGGATCAGCACTGGACTTCAAACCACAAGGTCAGCGGTTCAAATTCACCAGCTGCTCCTCAGAAACCCTACAGAGAGTCAGAACTGACTCGACGCCACTTAACAACAAATCCAGGCATAGGTATTGATGAAATAGGGTCAGATAGGGGAAGATGAGTTGAGACAAGAAAGGACGTCAAAACATTTCTCATGGCAAGAAATGAGGGCCGAGATAGGTGTTACAGGAAGGAGTACAAAGCTGACAAGACAGGATTAACGCGTCTGGGATCAATCAAGTGAGGCCAAGGCAGAGATAAAAGCAACAGTGCAAGACTGTAAACAAGGGAACCGACTACAAAAGAGTAGGGGATAGCATGGGACCAGACCAAGCAGGATGCTGAGTGCTCTTAATGTCTCCCCAGCTCGCCTGGCAGGAAATAATGCCTTGGACGTGTTCCAGAGGCATCGAGAGAAGGAACTAGAAGAAAGACAGCAGATCTACTGGTGACCACCTACCCACAGATCTCCCCACCCTTCTCAATGACCCTGCCCCCCAAGATTGACTCTACCTGCTTCCTGAACCCTTATTCCTAACTCCTAGCTGGGCCTCCTGGAAGGAAGGATTACCCTTGACAATAGCTGCAGACTCTAAAGATGATCTGCCTCCCAATGTGAGATTCCATGAGGAGAAAAGACTGGATTTTGAATGGACTCTGAAGGCAGGGTAAGGAAAGGGGTCAGGGTGGAGTGAGGGCTGACAGATCCAAGAATGTGAAGGTATGTGGTGAGGGGCTGAGGGATCGCAGATGATGAGTTGTTTTCATTCTCACTTATCCTAGGGCTCTAGAAATTGCCCTCAAACGTGTTTATACCCTCCTGAGCTCCTGGGACCACCTAGAGGATTTCAATCAGATCTTCTGGGGTCAGAAGAGTATGCTGGCTGGTAAGTGATTCTCCAGGTCTCACTAAGCCCCTCTTGATGAATCTCCATCACATTCCATAGGTTCCCCCAAAAACTCCCACCAGATGAGAACACTTAATCAAGCCTGGTCATTTTACAGAGGCTTTAAAATGTACAGACAGGGGCTGAATGGAGGTGGTCATGTGCCTGGATCTCTGCCGGAGAGTCTGGAGAAGAGGCTGTGGGCCAATGTCTTTCTCCCCACCCCACAGAAAAGGTTCGCCAATGCTGGAAAGATGATGAGCTTTTTGGCTACCAGTTCCTCAATGGTGCCAACCCCATGCTGTTGAGACGCTCCAGATCTCTTCCCTCCCGGCTAGTGCTGCCCTCTGGGACAGAAGAGCTTCGGGCCCAGTTGGAGAAGGAACTCCAGGTACCTCCTCCCACCTTTCATTTTTCTCTCCTTGGCCACGGGGCAAGATCTGGTGAAAGGGCGAAACCCGAGATCAATGTAGTGGGAGGGAGGCTGCAGGAACCACTGCCCTGGATGCAGAGTTCTGCACCTCCATAAAAAGCTAGAGATTATAAAAAATGTAGAGGCAAAAATATGAGCTCCCAACATGGAGGAGAACACCAGACGGATCTCCAGAGCATGGACAAGGCCAGAGATATTAGTGAAGACAATCCTGGCTGGATATCAGGGATTAGACACAAGTGTCCATGGGCATGAAGAGGGCAGGCGAGTGCACCGTAAGGTAGGGAAAATCAAGAACTTGCCTGGAAAAGAGGTGGAATTCGAAGAGATGAACTGGACATAAGGTTCAGACTAGGCAGGTTTGTGTGTGCATATGTGTGACTGTGCTGTGCTTGGGGGCAGTGGTGGAGTCCGGGTATGGCGCTGTAGGATCAGCACTAAACTGCTAAGTAAAAGGTCAGCAGTTCTAGCCCACCAGCTGTTCCTTGGAAAACCCTTACAGGGTCACTCTGAGTTGGAGGGGAGTCCTGATGTGGCACTGTGGGATAAGCACTCCACTACAATGAAAGCTGGTACTCAGAAACCCTACAGGATCACTATGAGTTAGAACTGACATGACAGCACTTAACAACAATAACAACATGCATGACTATGTGTGACTATGCTGTACTTTGTGGCAGTGGTAGCCAGGAAAATTCTCTGGATTCCTTGCAGTAAGAGAATCTGCTTGGTTGGTTGGACTAGAAACACAGGTATTATGCAGTAAGAGATGATGGGGGAAGGTCCTGGTCATCTTGACAAGGGGATAGCTTAGCAAACACTTCCCATGGTTCTCAATTCAGATAGACTATCATACATCCCTGGGGCAAAACATCTCCCCTCGCTTGGCTTAGTTCTTCACTTTCAAATGAAAGAATTGGAATAATGGTTCTGCCTCTAGGATTCTGGTACTGATACACATTAATAGCAGGGCGCTAGACTCGATACCTTTAAATGTCTTGCTTTTTGTCCTGTTTTCTGGGGGTAGGCGTTGCATTCTAATCATGAATACTTCTCTCTACAGAACAGTTCCTTGTTTGAAGCTGACTTTATTCTGCTGGATGGGATTCCCGCTAATGTGATTCGAGGAGAGCAGCAGTATCTGGCAGCGCCCCTCGTCATGCTAAAGATGGAACCCAATGGGAAGCTGCTCCCCATGGTCATCCAGGTGCGTGCTCCCTTCCAACATGATTCTTTGCTCCCATCACCCTCTGTTCCAGGCACCCAGGCTGCTGGCTGTAAGCTCCCAAACCCCGACCTCACTCAGCAACACTTTCCTTAAGTCGTTCTATGTTTGCTTACAGCCTAGTCTCCCCTGACTCACCCAACTGGAATTACTTGTTCAAGAGTCTTAATGACCTTTTGGAGTTCTTATCCTGTAGCCCAATGGTTCTCAAACTTTAGTGTGCATCAGAATTCCCTGAAGGGCTTGTTAAAACACAGGGTGTCAGACCCCACCCCCAGACTCTGATGGAGGAAGTCTGGGATAGGGACTGTGAATTTGTATTTCTGATAAATTCTAAAGTAATGCGGATGCTATTTAGGGAACGTGTTTTTAGAATCACTATTCCATCTTTTCTAGGCCTCTGACTCTGAACACCTGAACATCCATTTTCTCTCAAATATCTTCTCTCTGCTGTCAACCAGCCTGCCAACAAATTCTGTCATTTATTTCACACATCCAACTTCTCCTTCTCATTCCACCATCCTAACGTAGACCTCCACCATATTCCTCCCAAACCACTGTAAGGGCCTCCGTACTGGTCTCTGTGATCAGTCTCTCCTTCATTCAAGCCTTCAAGCCAACCACAGGGCACTCACACAGCCCCACAACTAGTTAGAAGCAGCATGGGGTGGGAGGGGGGGTGGCTTCAGTCTTCATACTAAATTACAACCTCCTAAAAGGAGCTCTGGTAGTGTAGTGGTTACAAATCGGGCTGCGAGCCGCAAGGTCAGCAGTTCGAAACTACCAGCTGTTCTGCAGGAGAAAGATGAGGCTTTCTGCTCCCGTAAAGATTTCCAGCCTCGGAAACACTGTACAGGGTCGCTATGAGTCGGAACCGACTCCACAGCACATAACAACAACAACAACAAAAGGCAATAATCTTATCTTAGTCCTTTATGTCTTTTTCTAGAATGCTGAGAAATATCTTCAATAAATACTTAATTTCTTTTTCCCCAGATCCAGCCTCCCAACTCGAACTCCTCTGCCCCACCACTCTTCCTGCCCTCAGATCCCCCACTTGCTTGGCTCCTGGCAAAGTCCTGGGTCCGAAATGCAGACTTCCAACTGCACCAGCTCCAGTATCATTTGCTGAACACTCACCTGGTAGCTGAAGTCATCGCTGTCGCCACCATGAGGTGCCTCCCAGAACTGCACCCTGTTTTCAAGGTATAGGCTCAACCTTCCCTTTCAGACCCCAGAGAAAGGAAACAGTTTAATACCTAATAACATTGCAACAACAAAAAAATCTTTATAGCAGTTTGTGAATGGATAATGGAGAAAAAAAATCAAGGTCTTGGTGTTGGAGAAAGAGCAACAGGCCTAGGTATAAGGTTGAAGAGAAAAACAAGCTTCGCTTTTGCATCGCCTGTCTGGTACTGTGGGTTAAGCATTGAACTGCGAGTTGAAAGGTTAAGAATTTAAATCCACCAGACACTGTAGGAGACCGATGTGACAGTCTGCCTCCATAAAGATTTATAGTTTCAGAAACCCTAAGGAGCTGTACATAGCAGGTGTAATAATTGAATGTGTTTCTGCTGGGGCTTCTACCCTAACACCAAAACTGGCCAAGAGTAGATGTGGCCACTTTGGATTCTCAGAGAGCAGAGACAAGATGGAGACCTGTATGGTGAATAGACTGGGATTTGTTGGTCTCATGATGTCTTCTGCATCACCATCTTCTGCTCTGAACAGGGTTCACACCTAACATTCCCTTCTTAGTTCAGCCACTCCCCATGTGGCTCCACAGCACACAGCTGGGTCGTTGTTATCAGGGCCCACAGGAGGACTAAGCCCACATAGGTCAGCCTGTGCAGGCTCTGAATCCTGGATCGGCACTCACCAGATGGGTTTCACAGTCTTCACTCCAGACAGGGATAATAGGGGCTCTATCATGGGTTGTGAAAGGATTGCATGACAGAACCAAATGTGTGAAACAGACTGAATGCTTCGAAAACCATTAGTTCTTACAAGGCATAGGATGAAGACTTGTTTGTGGTCGGGTACTTCTCTCCTCGTGTAGACTCTGGGCTTTCTAGTATACTCACATCATCTTTCCATGAACTCTCTGCTTTGATCTTAGCACCAGGGGTATCTGCTGGGTCCTAGCCTGTGTCCAGGATCAATGACTCAGATGATGTTGTTACCAGGTGTTATCGAGTTGGTTCCAACTGGATTCCTTGCAGATAGGAGGACGTAAGGGTATGGAGTAGTGGCCCATGTAGAACAAACCCTTGTCTGGTGCTGTGCCATCCCCACAACAGTGCGAATGTTTGCGCTCACGATTGCAGCTACTCTGTCAATCCGCCTTGTTGAGGGTTTTCCTTTCTTTCGCTCATCCTCTACTTACCAAGCATGATCTAGAGGTTAGTTCCTCCTGACAACATGTCCAAAGTAAACAAGACAATGTCTCACTATCCTGGCTTCTAAGCAGCATTCTGGATATACTTCTCCCAAGACAGATTTGTTTGTTCTTACGGCAATCCATGGTAGAGTCAGTAATATTCTTGAACATCATAACCCAAATGTATAAATTCTTCTTATGTTTTCCTTTGCATTGTCCAGCTTTCACATGCATATGTTGTTGTTGTTGGTAAGTGTACCATGGAGTCGGTTCCAACTCATAGTGACCCTGCACAGGGTTTCCGAGGCTGTAAATCCTTATGGGAGCAGAAACCCTCATCTTTCTCCCACGGAACCACTGGTGGTTTTGAACTGCTGACCTTGAGATTAGCAGCCCTATTCGTAACGACTATGCTACCAGAGCTCCTTCCCATACATATGAGGCAATTGAAAATACCATGACTTGGGTCAAGTGTACCTTAGTTATCAAAGTGACATCTTTGCTTTTGAGATACTTGAAAGAGGTCTTTTGCTGCAGATCTGCCTGATGTAATACGTCATTTGATTTCTTGACTGCTGAGTCCTTGAACACTGTGGATCCAAGTAAAACGAAATCCTTGACAACTTCAGAATTTCTCCATTTATCCTGACATTGCTTATTGGCCCAGCTGTGAGAATTTTTGCTTTATTATTGAGGTGTAATCCACACTGAAAGGTGCAGTCCTTGATCTTCATCAATGACTGTTTCAAGTCTGCTTCACTTTCAGCAAGCCAAGTTGTCACCTACATACCGTAGGTTGTTAGTGAGTCTTCCTCCAATCCTGATGTCACGTTCTTCTTCATATAGTGCAGTTTCTTGAATTATTTGCTCAATATTTAATAAGCCAGATAAATAACAAAACTCAATCAACCCTGTATAGCAACTGGGGGAATGAGAAGACAAAAGAGAAACATGTGGCCTTTTGTACTAGCTAAGGAAAATCATGGGCCTGCCAGCGCCGAACTGGAGCTGTGGCAGACAGAAAATGCCCCTCTGCTGCAGCAGCAGGTAGCTCTCTCAGAGTTCTCTAATGCTGACTGAAGATACCCAACTCCCAAAAGAACTTAAAAGAAAAAAAGAGTAAAATGATCAGAGGTGGGCTTTGAAAGTGAGCAGAGGCTAGTTTAAATGACAAGGGTGTGAATGATAAGAGGAAGTCTCAATAGACAAAGTGCATGCAAGGTGGAAATAATGCAAGGTAATGTTAACAGCTACGATTTGAGGACTTGTGTGTGCCAGACACTGTGCTAAACACTCTTAATCACTCACATAGGCATGACTACAGCACCCTGAGGTAAGAGAGTGTATTTCCCCTCTGACAGATGAGTAGGTCACCAATTAGAGGGTTTATTGTCTTGGCCAAGTTCCCAAGCAAGTGGTGAACCACAGACTCAAAGCCTGGTGAGTCTGGCTCAACCCTAACACACACACAGGGGCATGAGAAAGCATGAGGGTGAGTGACTGGAGAAGCAGGAGACTAGCCTGTCCAGGCAGCTGCAGGGAGGAAGTCATCTAGGGAGAAAGCCACCACCTGGGCCCCACTCCCTACAAGGGATCAAGCATGGCCTCCATTAACCAAACCTTCCATTCCCCTCCACCCTAGCTCCTGATCCCCCATATCCGCTACACCATGGAAATCAACACCCGGGCCCGCACCCAACTCATCTCAGATGGAGGCATATTTGATAAGGTAGGGAAGGAAGGCATGGGATATGGGACCAGCTAACCATGCATCTATAATCTGCCATCTTCAGGATCGCAGACCAATGATGTGTAAATGCCCTGCCCCTTTTATACCCATGACTTAAATCTGAAAACCCAAAAGCTAAACCCCTAATCTAGTATTCCATGATTCTGAGACCTACTCTGTCCCTCAAAACTTCTCAATTCTCTTGCCCCAGGCCGTGAGCACAGGAGGAGGGGGTCATGTGACCTTGCTCCAGCGGGCAACGGCACAACTGACCTACTGCTCCCTCTGTGCTCCTGACGACCTGGCTGACAGGGGCCTGCTGGGACTCCCGAATGCTCTCTATGCCCATGATGCTTTACAGCTCTGGGACATCACTGCCCGGTGGGTGAGAGCTGAAGCTGAGAAATGGAGGTGGGGGTGTGTGAGGAGGGAGAGTTTCTGGCTTGAGATCTGCATGAGAAACAGAAAACTTCAAAAGAAGGAAAAGGAAGAGGGTCTAAGCAAAGAAAGCTGATGTTTAGAAAAGGATGAAGAGGAGTGAAGAGATGGTGGGGAAAGCTGTGGGCGGGGGAGACTATGGGATCTGGAGGGATCTGCGTTTTTGTTAGGAAGACCAGGTACTGTAGCTGTATTGGGGATTCCACGAACTAATGACTCAATTCCTGGTCCTTGCTATAGTAAGTAGTAAGATCTGGGGAATGTCCCAAAAGCAAGTCTGGGAGGATTTGTCACAGAGGCAGTGAATGACAGTGGGCAGAGGCCACAGTAAAGGGGAAGAGAGGTCAGAAACACCTTCTCTCAAAGAGCTCACTTCCCTCCCCCGGGCAGGTACGTGGAGGGGATCATCCACATCTTCTACCAAAGCGATGATGTCGTGAGAGGGGACCCTGAGCTGCAAGCCTGGTGTCGGGAGATTACTGAGGTGGGGCTGTGCCAGGCCCAGGACCGAGGTATAATGGCCACAACATCCATGCCCTAGAGGGGGTCTGAGGCTGCACCACCTCACCAGTCCAGGACCAAACTTTCTCTAGTACTTCTCAGTACTGTCCCACAAGTACTTCAAGCCCCCGAAAATCCTATTTACTATTCCCCTTGGTCATCTTCTCCCCAAATCATAGCTACATTTAGAAATTTAAAATGGTGGTGGTGGTGCTTGTGTGCCGTGGAGTCCGTTCTGACTCAAAGTAACCCTGCACAGGGTTTCCGAGGCTATAAATCTTTATGGGAGCAGAAAGCCTTACCTTTCTTCCACAGAACAGCTGGCAGTTTCTAACTTCTGACCTTGAGATTAGCTGCCTAACTTATAACCACTACACTAGAGCTCCTTTGAGGAGAAATTTTAAATAGACATTCTCAAATTCACTTTGTTGTCATTGTTGTTAAGTGCCATATCAAGTCAGTTCCAACTCACAGTGACCCTGTATTGGGTTTCCAAGGAGCAGCTGGTAAGTTTGAACTGCCAATCTTACAGTTCAAACCGGCCTTTCCGTTCAGGGCTTATCCTGCAGTACCATGACCTCCCCCTTACTCTCTCTCAGGTCTGCTAGCTCATCTTTGCCTAATTTTCCCAACACCTTTAGAGGAAGTGTGCTAAAATTTAAAACCGCCCAGTATTTGCGGTCAGAAACCCAAGTTCAAGATCAGCCTCTGCCTTTTCCCAACAAAGCAATCCTGACAAGCTGTTTAATCTCTCTGGCCTTCAGTTTTCTTATTTATAAAATAGGAATCATTGTATTTCTCCTACTTAACTCCTAAGATTATTGGCTCTGTGAGCCCCAACTTCACTGTAAAATTAGTGACGTGGAATACCCTTTGGGAAGCCCTCCTAAATGTGACACTAGAAACGCATGACTTCCCTTATTACCTACTTTATAACTCAGACACTTAAAACCCTCTCTCTGGGAATAGGAGAAAGCATCCCTAAATTCTTAACCACTTTTTGAGGTAGGAGATATCTGATCATTCAGATCATCCCCAAACCTCCCACAATAACAATGGTTGTTACTTATTGAGCATTTACTACATGCTAGGTAATCAGTACATTACCTCATTTATGAGGTGGTGGTTGAGAGCCATCAAGTCAACTCCGACTCATAGCCACCCCATATGACAGAATAGAATTGGCCCAGAGTTATGAAGGCAGATCACCAGGTTTTTCTCCCCTGGGTGGGGTTCAATCTTTCCATCAGCAGCCAAGCATTTAACCATTTGTGCTACCAGGTTGCCTCATTTATGAGATGAGACTGTACCCATGATACAGATGAAGACATTGAGGTTCATAGCGATTAAATAATTAGCCAAAGGTAACCCAAGCTATGGGTCCTTTAGTGGTACTAATAGTAGACACTCAGCTACTAACCAAAAGGTTGGCCATTCAAAGCCACTCATTGGCACTGCGGAAGAAAGTCCTGTTTATCTACTTCCATACAATTACAACCACTGAAAACCCTATGAAGTGCAATTCTACTCTTAAAACATAAGGGGCTGCTGTGAGTTGGAATCAACTGGAAGGCAAAGAGGTTTTAACCCAAGCTATAAAGGCTTCAGCACTGACTGAAATCTACATCTGATGCAATTACATTTGACTAAATGAACAAACATTCATCAATTCTAAAATATGGACATCCCAAGAAATCCTATTTTATTTCTTTCCTTTCATGCTGGAGCCTCTAAATCCTGTTCCTTTCCTGTCCAGGCTTCCCTGTTTCCTTCCAGTCCCGGGCTCAACTTTGCCATTTCCTTACCATGTGTATCTTCACCTGCACTGCCCAGCATGCAGCCATCAATCAAGGCCAGGTATGGACAGCTGAAAGCCCAGGTCCTTGAGGGAGAGGGGTGAAGGTTAGGACCCAAACTACCAGGTTTCCTACGGCTGCAGTTTCTTTCCCCAGATGGACTGGTATGCCTGGGTCCCTAATGCCCCATGCACAATGCGGATGCTCCCACCCACCACCAAGGAAGATGTAACAATGGCCACAGTGATGGGGTCACTACCTGATGTCCAGCAGGCCTGTCTTCAAATGACCATCACATGGCATCTGGGTCGGCAGCAGCCCGACATGGTGAGAGGGGATTCTGGGTAGGGGGCAATTTGAGAAGCTGGATTGTAAGCACATCTGTTTGGGGACTAGGAGATTGTTTGTTCTGTTCTCAGGTACGTCTGGGGCATCATAAAGAAAAATATTTCTCGAACCCCAAAGCCAAGGCTGTGCTAAGCCACTTCCAAACAGAACTGGAAACCCTGGAAAAGGAGATTACAGCCCGGAATGAGCAACTGGACCTGCCCTACGAATACCTGAAGCCTAGTCACATAGAGAACAGTATCACTATCTGAACCCTAAGCTACCCATGCCCCAAGACTACAGACCAGCTCAAGAAACTGACATTTTCATCTAGTTTATGCTTCCCCAAATTTCAGCTGCCAAGGCTCTAGTGTGGTGCTGTAGGATCAGCACTGGACTGTGAACCACAAGGTTAGCAGTTCAAATCAATCAGCTGGCTTGTTGGAAACCCTACCTAGGGTTGCTATGTGTTGGAACTGACTTGAATGCACTTAACAGCAACAAGGCTCTATGAGAGAGGCTTCAGAAAGTTCATGGAAGAATGGAATGAAAAGATAAAGGAACTTTTCCATGAACTTTCTGAAGTGCCCTCGTATTTCCTTCCCCAACTGGGTCACCTACATCAATATCTCACTAGCCCAGAGGACAGCAAAGTTTTTCTGTAAAGAGACAAAGAATAAATATTTTAGGCCTTGTGGGCCACACGGTCTCTGTCACAACTACTCTGCCATTGTAGTAAAAAAGCAGCTACAGACAAAACATCAAGAAATGAGTGTGACTGTATTCCAATAATACTTTACTTATTGACACTGAAATTTGAGCTTCATGTGTCGCAAAGCATTACTCTTCCTGTTTTGTTTTTTTTCTTAACCATGTGAAAATGCAAAAGCCATGCTGGATTTGGCACTCTTAGCTGTACCCTACACTAGCCTGAGGCACTGACCCTGCTTCCAAACCATCCTAGATCACTTGGAGGGTGGCTATTTCGCAGAGAAATCAATTATCTCAGCAAATTCTCCATTCTCAGGAGCCACATTTCATGCTTGGTGACTAACATGCTAAATCCTCTGTTCCTTGGCACCTTTCCACTCACCCCTATTCCTCCTACTCACACATGTATCCCAAATGTCCCTAAATAAATATGGTGTTCTTATCAACATAGAAATGGATACGTAAGAAAACACGGTACATATATATATACAATGGAACTTCACTCAGTCATAAAGAAAGATGAAGTACTAATATACGCTACAACATGGATGAACTCTAAAAACACATCAAGTGAAGTCAATCACAAAAGATCAAATACCTGATGTCACATATATGAAATAGCTAGGACAGGCAAATGAATGGAGCCCAAAGTTTATTCATGGTTACCAGGGGCAGAAGGGTGGAGTCCTGGTGTGGTGCCGTAGGATAAACACTCGACCTCAGGGTTGGTTGGAACCAAAAGGTCGGTGGTTCAACTCACCAGCCACTCCTTGGAAGCCCTATACAGAATCAAAACCAACTAGATGGCACTTAACAACAGGGACAGAAGACAGGGAGAAAGAAGAAGACACTGTTTAGGAAGCACTGAGCTCCTATTTATGGTAGTGAAAATTAGGCAACAAATATTGGTGATGGTTGCACAACTGATTAATGTAGCTTATGCTACTAAATTGTATACATGAAAACTGTGCAAGTGACAAATGTTGTGTTTCCATGAGGGGGGCTTCAAAAAATTCATGGAAAAATTTCATTCCATTTTTTCATGAACTTTTGGAAGCCCCTCGTATCTTAACAATAAAATAAATAATGGTATTTCTAGGGCAGAATAAAACCTTCACATAAGTAGGTTTCCCTCCCCTGACAGTTCCAACAAAAGAAATATGAAATTTGTTTCAATGCCACTTTTACTGTCCTTTGTATCCTGGGATCTCCATGGCTTTCCCAAGTTCCAGGTTCTCCTGCACCACACTTGTAACAATAACCTACACAAGATAAGTGGGAAAATACCAGCCACTGACAGTATTTCTTTGGTTCCGAAACTTCAATATGAACATTATTCCTCTCAATTATGCTGTGATCCCTGTCTATGCTAGCTTAGTACAAAATTGTGTCCTAACACCTCTAGTTCCCAAACCTGTCTCTCACCAGTGAAGTATACAAACTTTTATTTTGAAAGGATAAACTATTCATGTTTTTTTAAATTTTTGTGTCTTACTTTATTATAATGAACCCTCACCAGTTACTCCTTGGAAACCCTACACAGGGTCGCTGAGTCAGAGTCGACTCTAATGGCCCATAACATAGGGAGCCCTCCCTGGTGGTGTAGTGGGTTATACTTTTTGGGCTGCGAACTGCAAAATTAGTAGTTCAAACTCACCAGCCACTCCAGAGGAAAGATGTGGCTGCCTACTTCCCTAAAGATTTACAGACTATACAGGGTTGAGAGGAGTGGGAATTGATTTGGTGACAAGTGGGTTTGGTTTTGCTTTTCATAATTGCCTTCCTATCCTTACAGTAGGGAAGCAAAGTGACATTTTTGTACACTTATTCATTTCTTGGGGAGTCTAAGGGTGGTGCAAATGGTTAAGTTCGCAGCTACTAAACCAAAGACTAGCAGTTCAAACCCACCCAGAGATGCTTCGGAAGAAAGGCATGGTGATCTGCTTCCAAAATCCCTATGTAACAGTTTTACTCTGCAACACATTAGGGTGCCTGAGTCAAAGTCGACTAGATGATACCTAAAAGATGTTTCATTTCTTCAGTACATTTAGCAGAACTGTTCGCCTTCACAACTTGTTCATCCAATCTGCTCTCCCTGGGCTTTTCCTAGCTCACTTATTTTTTCTAGATTTGGTATCCAGAATCGTACAGTATTCCAAGCATGGGTAACAAATTTTTAGTCAGAAACATTTCCAATACCTTTTCCTAAGCACCCTCAAAATTCTAAAGCGTTCTAAACGGCCATCGCTGCTTGGCTTCCGGCAGGGGCTCCAGTCTCCTTTTAAGCTGTCAAATATCTATGAAAGGGTGGGGGATGAGTAGAAAGAAGACAGAGGTGATCCGTCTCCCGTATCTCACCATTGCCCCCTCACAGCTACCACCCCTTACCAAGTTATATGAAGGAAAATCAGATGGTCCCAGTTCTCCACCGCTAAAAACCCAGCTCTGCTCTGCTCTTCAACATTACAGACTCTCTCCGAGGACCTGTTACGACGCGTTCCTGGTCACCTGATCGGTCAAGCCCGGTCACGTGAGGTGTCGGTCCCTTCCATTGCCACTTGCAGAGGAGGAAATCCAAGAGTCAGGACACCCTAGCTCCTCCGATAGTCATGTTCCAGCAAAAGACGTAAACAAATGCTTTCAGAGAATCTTTTGTAGTTTCAGACACTGCCTTACCACGCCAAAGTCCGGAAGGACTCCAAGACACATAGTGTTCTCCGACCTCCAAGCCCCTGGAACGTTGGTTGGGCCCGGAGACCACGCCCCCTAGTCGCCCTCCGCACTGTCGGTTCTCCGTGGCGCGAGCCCCTAACTCTAGCTTGCTCGTCCTTTGCTCATTCTAGGCTTTCTCTCGCGCCGTTTCTGCTAGGCCCACACCTAGCCCATCCCTGACTTCATGGCGTCGCTCCTGTGCTGCGGGCCCAAGGTGGCCGCCTGTGGCATCGTCCTCAGCGCTTGGGGAGTGATCATGTTGGTGAGAGGACTGCCTGCGAGAATCGGAGAGGGCCTGAGGGTCGCCGGGGTTGGAGGAGCTAGGAGGCTAGGAGAAGACGGGTTTTAGAAAGCAGGGGCAGGCTGGAGGGACTGACTGATCATTAGTTGGGCACTGAAAAAAAAAAAAAAAAGAGGCAGAACTGGTATGGAGAAATGAGGAACTGTAGCGGGTGGGGGAACGGGAATACTGGATGGACCCTGGGATGGGAGCCGGAGCTGTTAAATTTGAGAACCCCTCCAAGTAAAGGGAAAAATAGCTGGCCTCCCGAGAGATACTTGAGCGGAATGGAGGGAGCTGAAATGGGTAGTTTCGGCCTTGTTCCTCCAGGACTCTCTGTCCCCACCCCACCCACTGCCATCAAGCTCATTCTGACTCAGAGCGACCCACGATAGGGTTTCCATCTCCCTAGGATCAGAAAGCCTTATCTTTCTTCCCGGGAGCAGCTGGTGGCTTTGAACTGCAGGCCTTCCGGTTAACAGTCCAGTGCTTATCCTACAGCGCCACCAGGGCTCCTTACCCCCCACCCCCGTTCAGAAGACTATAATCAAATGAAGAAGTGCGAATTTCCCCGCATCCCTTCCGCTTAGTCCCGTGATAATGACGCCCCAGCGGAGGAAGAGAATCTGGGTTCCTGGCAAAGATGAGTTGCTCACTACTGCTGCGCTTGCCCCAGCTCCTCAACTCAATGTCACGGCCTCACACAGTATTCCAGGTGGCCCCTAATTCTAGCTCGTTCTAGTTACTACCAGGCCCAAGTGTTGTGGCAACATTATTAGTGGAAGGGACTTAGGGAGTGGCTTGGAGGCCAGGTGCCTGAATTCAACAACCAACCCATTCATCTTTCGTCAGATAATGCTTGGAATCTTTTTCAATGTCCATTCCGCAGTCCTTATTGAGGACGTTCCCTTCACGGACAAAGATTTTGAGTAAGTAGTCGGGTGGGGTAGGTAGGAGGTGGCTGGGTCTGTGGTCAGAATTATGACTGGAGAATTGAGGGAAACTGGACACTTTGAAGGAGCCATTGTGGTAGTGGATGGGGGACACTTGGAGACCCCAAGGCTACAGCCTGCTCTCTTTAGAATATAATAGCCTTCTTGGGAGTCAAACCTCAGAGGCATTCCTAAAACCACCAGTGGTCCCTTCCGGTATTTCACCTGACTTATCGACTCCACGGCACATAACAACAACAACAACAACATCTATGCCTCAGATGGGTGCTAGAACTCACCCCATAGAGTTTTGAAAAATTAATAAATGTTAATGCATGATACCTGACATTAAATATTCCGTAAATGTTGGCTACTATTAATTTTTCTGACATTTCTCTACCTAATCCTCACCCCCTAGGAACGGCCCCCAGAACATATACCGCCTTTATGAGCAAGTCAGCTACAACTGTTTCATCGCCGCGGGCCTTTACCTCCTCCTCGGAGGTTTCTCGTTCTGCCAAGTTCGGCTCAATAAGCGCAAAGAATATATGGTGCGCTAGATGCATCCTCCCCTTCCACTATTTAAAGACTGCCTCCTCCGCCCAGCACGTCCTACTATCCGGCGCCCTCTGCAGGACTGAGTTTCCCTGGCAAAGGATTCAAATTTGTTCTTGACTATCTGTGTAACAATAAAGAGAACCTGCTCTCTTAATCCTCGTGTCCGTGCTTGGGGGCGGGCACGGGACTAAGGTTGGAGATTGGTCTCTAAATGGAAGTCTGGGCCCCCTAGCGGAAGTGGAGGCAAGCAGGGCCCGGAAGTGAGGCATTTTTCCTCTTCCCTGGGGGCGTGGAGGCGGCCTAAGTAATTGCGGTTGATAAGGGGGCAGCTGCTGAGTTCAGCCAATCAACGGCCGGGCGGGGCGGGACTTCCTGCGCGGGAAGCCGGAGCGGCGCGGTTGCCTGGCTCTCCGTGGTCCCGGTTCGCGTGGCAGCGGCGGCGGCAGCGTCTCTGTGAGGAGGCGCGCGGAGCCATGACGTCAGCGTCCACCAAGGTTCGGCCTCCCTAGCGACAGCGCTCTCTGGCGGCCACGGGAGGGCACCCCCCCTCCCTCCCCTACACACACAAACTTCGTTTCCGGCTCAGCAGCTCCAGGCGGGGTGCCGGGCGGGCGGGCAGGAGCCGAACCTGGGGTGGGGCTAGGGGCTTCGGGCGGGGACATCGTGGAGGACGTGCGCCGGTCCCCTGTAATGCTGTCCCGCCCCCAGGTCGGAGAGATATTCTCTGCGGCTGGCGCAGCCTTCACGAAGCTCGGGGAGCTGACGATGCAGCTGCATCCCGTGGCTGACTCTTCTCCCGCGGGGTACGTGACCCTGGGCTTGGACCTGGACACTGAGCGAGGACACTTGGATTCGATTACAGATACGAACACACTCTAGGGCAGGGACAAATGTTAGTTTCCCATTGTGTCTGGAATAAAGAAGAATGTTAAGTGCCGTTGAGTCGGTTCCGACCCATAGCGACCCTGTATAGGGTTGCCGAGAAGCAGCTGGTGAGCTTGAACCACCGACCTTGCAGTTCAAATGGCTTTGCAGTATAGGTGTTAATAAATGATTGTTGAGTGAATGAATGAATGATAGACGAAAACACAGACTAAGACCCATTATTAACCCAACTCATGTTCACATCTCTACTCCATGCTGCGCATACCAGCAGATCAGACCCCACAAATCACCTGGAATTCTTCAGACTGTTACAGACTTTGTGTTAAGGAGTTCCATTTGTTACCCTACTTGTTGAATGGTTTCATTGAGCTTTACACAGCAGCAGGTTGAAGCTCTAAGGTGGTTTTTCAGATACGTGGTTTAGGGCCCACTGGATCCCCAGTGGACCTTAAGAGCTTTTTATAAAGGACTACTTAAGTGATACTTGGGAGGGTCTCCGGAGACTGGGAAGGGAGAAGGCTGGTTGACTGGGGTCTGCATAGCTGTGGGCTGGCTCCACACCCCTCTTCCTGCCTGTCTTGCTATTCCCCCTCTCCCTTCTGACAGTGCGAAGTGGACCGAGACGGAAATAGAGATGCTGAGGGCTGCTGTGAAGCGATTTGGGGACGATCTTAATCGCATCAGCTGTGTCATCAAGGAACGGACAGTGTGAGGGAGGATGGCTGGCAGAGAAAGGGGGGGTGGGCAGCTTTCTTCTACTGAACCCATTGTTCAATTCTCCTCAGAACTTTGTTCCAGCCCAAGTCTTTATTAAAACTGCGCTAGTTTTAGCAGCGTCCCTTTGAGAACTGAAAATACAAGAATTATCACAATTGGTCAGAACTTCCTAAAATCCTCTGGTAATCAGAGCCTTTCAAGATTTTCATTTTAGGTTGCCGCAGATACCCAATTTTTAAATTTGATGATACGAGTTCCCTGGTTATTTATACAGATCTTTTGAGTGTACTACAGTGTTTCCAGGAATATTATGACTCTGAACTAGTTGACTAGATCCACTAATAAGTCTCAGTCTCTCTGTAGATCACCAAGCCTTATGTGGGAGCCTTCCACACCCATACTTTTCCTCCACAAGAGAATTAAGTGATCGGCCTTTCTTGGTACTCAGTTCAGGGATTTCCGCTTCATCTTCTATCTGCCTTGAGTTCATAGCTTAAGGAAAACAAGAACCGTACCAAAGGTTGTGGCCCTCATCTAGACTCAGGAAGGGCTCCCCAGGATTCTCACAGAGTAACCCATTATCCCTTCCCCACCTTCCCTGCTTCCTTCAGCTTCTCTGATGACACCTTCCTCTCTCTTGTCCTAGGGCTCAGATAAAGGCCACAGTGAAACGCAAGGTATATGAAGACTCTGGCATCCCCCTTCCAGCAGAGTCACCCAAGAAAGGACCCAAGAAGTTGGCATCTGGTGTTTTGTCACCTCCTCCAGCAGCCCCTCCACCCAGCAGCTCCATTGTCCCTGAGGCCGGGGGACCCCCCATAAAGAAGCAGAAGGCTGGTGAGGGCTGTGGAGTTGCTGCCTGGGGGTTAAATTCCCAGCTGAGGTTCATTGAGAGAACTGGGCCTGGCTCAGAGGAGGGTACACATCTCTCTTCCTCTCCCTGGGGAGATTCCCAGAGAGGGGCTTGGGGTTGGGGGAGGATGAAGCCTTGGGAAGCTGAGGGGCAGCTAGGGGAAGTAGAACCTAGCTTATGCTCCCCTCCCAGATGTGACTCTCAGTGCTCTGAACGACTCCGATGCCAACAGTGACCTAGTGGATATTGAAGGGCTAGGGGAAACTCCGCCAGCCAAGAAACTCAACTTCGACCAGGGTAGGAGTCCTCCTCCCCCCACACTGACTGAAGGGGAGGGGAGGAAGTGCTTAACTCATCAGTAGGGCGGGTCTCAGCTGAAGCCTCCTTGTTCCCCCTCCCCATTCCCGGGGTTTGGGAAAGGAATATGTTCTCATACATCGTACAGGGGATTGGGCCAGTCTGGAGTTGGGTGTTTTGGTGAGGTTGGGAGTTTTCTTGGAAGCATATTCAGAGCTCGCTCCATCTCTGCCCATTTTACTTCCTGTTCCAGATAGCCTGACCCTGGATTCTGGCCTTCTTATGACCTCTGCTGACCCTCCGCTACTCTCCCACTGAGCCTTCACCTCTGACCCCTCCCATTGTTCACTATGGACCTATAGATCATCTGGAACTCCTACTGAGGCCTGCACTAAAGAAGGTCAGAGGCTCCTGGGCCAGGAAGGTCCACTTTGGAACTCCTACTGAGGCCTGCATAAGCATAGGCCCAGCCTCTTTGACCTCCACCTGATGGACACATTTTTATACAGAAAACAATAAAGATTTTCCTCTCAGCTTGGTGCCTTATTGGAGTGCAAGGGGTGGGTCCATCTCTTCTTAGCCCTCAGGGGCTCAGCCCCTCCTGGGCAGCACTTGCCACCCTGCCTGGAGCAGCATAGCCAATATTGGTAGACTCTCTTCCAGTGCCAATATTTCTGTGCTGCTAGAACCAGGGGAGCTGGATGCGGGCAGCAGAGACTCCGCTTCAAGCTCTGAAGGCAGAACTTACTCCCAGCATCTCTGGCAGGTTGAGCCTACCGTGAGGAATTTTGGAGGGGCTGTTTCCAGAACTTTCATAGCCCCCGCTCCGCCCTTCCCTGAAAGGAGTTTGTCACAGCCCCCAGAGGTGTTTTGTGTCCAGTATCCAGGGTGGCCTCCCAGGGCCAGGCCTTTGCGGTGCCTTCCCCACTCTCTCTCTAACACCACAGTGTGGTTTGGACGTGGCCACAGTGCCGTACAAACCACAGTGTGCTGCTGGGGCGGGAGCAGGACTGGAGTGAATTGTGAGGAAAGGAAGATAAGATGGTGCTGTGAAGACCCTTTCTCCACCATGACCACCAAGAGCAGGGGCCCAGGAAAGACTTCAAAGGAAAACATGGCCCAAGAAAGATTGGGGAAAACAAACCGAGTGTAGGAGCCAAGCAGGCAACTGGAGGAAGAAGGGCCTAACGGATGAGTTCACTCTGCCATAAGAATGGAGCCATCTTTCCTCTGGAAGGATTCACCTACCCAGGCAATCCCTAGGGTAAGGTGAGAGGCCAAGGAACTTGGAAAGGATTGTGGGAGGCCAACGAACTGCCTCCGACTCAGCAAGGGCAGGGACCCAAGCCTCCTGTGTCCATTCCTCCCCTCCCTGGGTCAGACCCAAGAGAAAAGCAAGGAGAGACATGGCCAGGACGGACGGCAGGGTTGGGAGTTGGCAGTCCAGAGGTGGTGGGACCGGAACATGATTGGGAAAGGGGGGCCGGAAGTCTCCTTGGGCCCTGGGCCTGCCACAAGATGGAGGCCTAAAGCAGGAAATGGAGGCAGGGGGAAAGGGGAACAGTAGGGCCCAGGAAGAGGGTCTTCTGGACCTGGGGGTCAGGTCTTCAACCCCCAGTGTTGTCCCTAAACGCTGCTGCTCCTCAGAACCCAGGACCCACCCACACAACAACCCCCTTTAGCCCATCCACCAGGCCCTAGGCAGGCAGGCCCACCCCAGAGAGCCACGTTTAAGCTGAGACAAACATGTCTCTCCCCACCCCCACCCTGGGCCTTCCCTCAGCTTTTTTTCTCCTGTCCAAGACTAATTCTTTTAAAAGCAACCCCTAGAAAGCAAAATCTAAGGGCCAAAGTCTCTTCTGCAAATCAAAATAATATCCTCTAAGAACCAAGAGTTATTCTCCAACCTCCAATTTTACTTTTAACTACCCCCCTCCGACACACCCCCCAAAACTCTTAGCAATCAAAAACCTCTAAGATGGTGTGTGTAAGCAGTCTTTTCAGGCCCTGAGGAATGCCAGATCCCCAAGTCCCTGTATGTCCTACACCTAATCTCTGCTAAGGCCTCCTTCCCCTCATTCCATCTGAAGCCCCCAAACTGAGAAGCTGCCCCCAGCTCCCATCCTCGGCAGAGCCCTTGTGGGTGTGAAGCAGAAATCCAACACTATAATAATGGCTGGAGATGGCGTGGGGCACTCTGGTCTCAGCCTTTGGTTTCCATCTGGTGAACTACAGTTTAGGGGCACAAGAGAAAGTCTCTCGAATCACCCCCTAATTCCAAGACTCACAAAGCCCAACCCCACCCCAGCACGCACCTCCAAGCCTCCCCCCCAACCGCCCGCCACGTCTCTCCTGAAAACAGGGGACACTGTCCTCCCCACTTACCTCAGCTACTCTCCCCTGAGATCCTGGTCCCCTATTTTTGAAGGGAGAAAAAATTGGGGTGCATCCCTCACATTTGGGGTGCAGGAGAAAGGAGCCACCCCAGTCGCATCGCTGGCCTCCTTCCTCTTGACTGGCTCTGGGTGTGAGGAGTGCCCTAGGGAGGGGAGACCCCCACAAGAGAGCTCAGAAGGGGGTTTCTCCACTCCAAGTCAGAATTGGGGACACCCCCCCCAAACCCGTCCCAGCCCATCCGTCTCCAACTCGGCGGGAGAGGCAGCTGCAATGCCCCAGTCAGATTCCCCCAACACTACATTCCTCACCCCATCTAGAGGGGTCCTGGAACCCCCAAAAAATCCCCAAAAAATCTAGGATGTTGGGAAGACAGTCCTAGACTAGATCCCCAAATTTGGGGTCCTCAGATAGCCCCGTTTTTTCAGGAAAATTCCGCCTTTCTCCTGCCTCCCGCCAGCCCTGCTCTGTCCAGATGCCAATTTTGGAAGTCACTCCCTCCTTCCTCCTCCCGGTCTCTCCAGGACCCCCCCCCCCTCTCCTTCGCTCAGGGGCTAGGGTCCAGGACACCTGGCTTCCAGACGGGGGAGGGGGGGCACTCCCCAAAGGGTTAGGGGCCAGAAGGTCAAGCTCATTGCCCCAGTCTTAGGAAAGCAGGAAAGCCCGATCCTCCCTCCCCCTCCCCCCTGGCTGGTCTCGGTGGTGGTTTAGGAAAGCCTAGAGGATTGGAATCTGCCATTGCTATTGCACAGGCAGTTTTTTTTCCCTTGAGTTGGGGGGGTGGGCGGTGGGAGGGAGAGAGGGGAGGAGAGCCGAAAAGAGCAGGGACCCAGGCGTGTAGAAGTGGCCTGAAGTACTCTCTAGCCCCTGCTGCCGTTGGGAACCCACCCCCACCCCCACCTCACCCACATTCCCCGGTCCTCTGTCTACTTTCTGTTTGGGGCTCTTATCATAGAAAATCAGAGTTCACAAATCACCTCCTTGTACCCCACCAGTAGCCCTCCTTGCCACAGTTCCAAAAGCACTATTCTGGTCAGGGCTGTCCACTCAACCTCGGGATACCCCATTTTTCCCATCTTCCCCCAAAGTCGAGGTGTGCTCCCTTAAGAATTGGGGTTCAGAGCCTGAAACCACCTCTTTTCCCTCAGACCTAGCCAAAACATATACAGATAAGAAGAGAGCACTCCCTTTCCAAACTTGCCCCTTCAAATTTGGTCTTGAACTCCCATCCCGAAATTGGGCTTATTTGGGGGTTCACTAAAGAAAGAGACTTCTAGAATCTGAGGTGAGAGAGACCTTTAAGCAAAGGACACTACCAATGCATCATCATGCCTCAAATTAAGTGAACCCCTAAACAATCTCACCTTATGCTTCTCAGCTTCAGCAAATGAAATAGAAGAGCAGCAAAATACCCCCAAAATAAAGACACCCAAAAACTCTGGTCTCCCACTCTGACCTCTCCTTGTTTCTCCCATGGGAGAGGTTTCTTAGTAATCCAGGCATACACATGAATTTCTCCCCTCAAGTAAGTTTCCCACTACTTTCAAATGTTGTTGTTAAGTGCCATCAAGTCGATTCCGACCCATAGGGACCCTGTATAGGGTTTCCAAGGAGCAGCTGGTGAGCTTGAACCATCAACCTTGCAGTTCAAATGGCTTTGCAGTCTGGTGCATTAGCCCACAGTGCCACATGGGAATAGAAAATTCTAATCCCCCCCTCCCCCAGGATAGACTCCCCAGAGGCTTTCACAGTAGCTCCCACGTTCCTATCACGTTCCACCTCAGGCTAATCAAACTGCTGAATTGAATTTCATAATTCGACAATCTAACCTGAGCCTTGAAACTTATATTGTATTCTAAACAGCTGTGCCCCCAAATCAGCATGACTTCCCTACTTGAAATCAGGCTGATAAGAACCTTAACTGCCAATATACATGAGTGACTATGAACTCCCAAAATAAAACTCGTATTCACTTCCCAAAGATCAACCAGTAGGTTTTCTAGATAGTCCAAGATGACAGAGTTGGGTAAAACTTCCAAATCGTAGGTGTCAGAAACCCCAGAACTAATTTAGCTTTAAAACAAGCACTGTGCCTCAAAATTACCATAGGCCCTCAAGTTTGAATGCAACTCTAGTGCTCATAACAAGTAAACCAGCTCAATACCCCATAATTAGTAAGTACCCCACAAATGACCATATAACCGAATTTCAAGTCCATCCTGATACTAAAGGGAAGTCTCAACTTAACCCTGTCCCCAAACTGGGCAGAGACTACTCGAGAAAACCCTTACATGCCAAAGCCATCTAACTATACTGAATCCTCAGTGGTGTCTGATTCCCAGTTTTTCGTTTGTGCGCTCCAGATAAAGACACTCTCAAATCTGAAGCGGGGGACCAGGCCTGGACATGCAGCTTATGGACAATAGTCAATGGTTCCTGGTCAGCCGTAAACTCACATGAGCCCAAACCCAAGGTATTCCTGCTTTGCAGCTGTCCTCCACTCTGGCTCCCCTTCTCTAAATGAAGCCTGGTACCCCAAAGTCTGCACAAACAAAAGATGAGGTGGTGCTCATGCCTAGCTACTAGATTGGGTTACCAGGCCCTTTCTGCCTTCCCTACCTCCTGAAAACCTTCCCTGTTTGCCCCCAATGAGATGGATTGGCACAGTGGCAGCAGCATCGGGCTCAAGTGTAGCAACGACTGATTGTGAGGTTGACATAGGACCAGGCAGTGTTTCCTTCCGTTGTGCATAAGGTCGTTATGAGTCGGTACCAACTAGATGGCACCGAACAACTGCTTACCCCACCCAACTTTCATTAAAATGCACTTCTAAAGACCTCTGGATGTCGTTGTTGTTGTAAAATGCCGTTGAGTCGGTTCCGACTCATATGACCCTGTATAGAGTTTCCATGGAGCGACTGGTGGATTTGAACCACCGACCCTGAAGTTAGCAGTCCAGGGCTTATCCTAAGGCACCACTAACAGGATCTCCGGATAATAGCATCTAATTGGAAAAGAAAGTTCTGACCTCAGACTTCTCTCCTTGTCCTACCCACTGCCCTTTCTCCCAAAAAGCCCGCCGTTTTTTCACCCCTGGTAGGGTTCTTGATTTCCAGACCCAGCAGGGAGGAACTCGCCAAAGGGTTAGGGGCCAGCAAATTAAGCTCAATGCCTCAGTTTTACGGAAAAAAGAGAGTAGGAGTCACCCTTCCCCTTCCCCAGGTAGAAATCAGCCTAGGGGAAAGTCCCCTCTGTCCCCTAACTCTTCTTCCGCCCAAGCCTACTCCCCTCGTTGGTGACACAGGAGCAAAATAAACAAGTGCAAAGTCGGGGAGCCCGAACCTTTCAGACGACTGGACCAAACAGATCCTACTAACGCGTACCCCCCAGTCGATGGAGACGATCACGCGAGGCTAGGCTTGTGCTCGTCCGCCCCCTCGTGGAAGGAGCCAGACATTGCAGAACTTTGCGGACTTGCCGCTCTGGACCCCGGCGTCCCGCCAGACTCCAAGCGTGGCCGACGGGCGAGTACCCGAGGCCCTAGTGAGCTGGTATTGGGGGAGGAGGCCCGGGTTTCAAATACGTCTCTCTGGATCCCAAAAAGGATTCAGAAGAGAATCGGGAACGAAAGGCTGGATGCTTAGGTCTCCCGACTGTCTCTCGACCCCAACTCGGGGCTTTCCCCACCTCCTCGAGGGGAAGCAGCTGGCTCCGGTCGCAGGACAATGGAAGGAAATCAACTAGAAATCATATCCGCCACCTCCCTACCCCGCCCAGTCAGAGTCCCCCTTTTTGTAGGACCCTTTAGAAGTACCTGCCACTCAAACCATACCCTCCTACAGTCTGCGAAGACATGGGTGTTCACGCTTCTCCCTAACGTGATGCCTCGCTAGGCTTCCCCTTTTTCCTTTTAACACCGTGCATTGGACAATTTTGTTGTATTCACTTTTCTTCCCTAACAGGCTCCTGGTATCTTCTCCCAAAGCCATCACACCAATTTCCTCTGTTCCCAGCCCTCCAACGACCCAGGTCACCCTCATTTCCAACTTCGATGTCCTCGGCTTCCTCCACAATTCCAACATCCCCATTCTCAGTTCCACTCTCTCGTGGTCCAAGACCTCTTTTTCTGTTAGGACCACCAGCTTTTCTTAGGTCCCGCCCTCTAGCCCAAGACCCCGCCCCGGGCTTGCCAGCTGGAGAGCGAGAGAGGAAGGAAGGATACAGATCCAGGCGGTCAACCCACCTCCACCCCCGCCCCCGACATCCCGGCCAGATAAAGGCGCCAGGCCCAAGAGGGGAGGGAGACCCCGCCCCTCCTTGAGAAGAGAAGCCGCTGCCCCTGCAGGACGGGGGTAAGAATTTGAGACTGAGGGGTTAGACTCTTGGGTCCCCTTAGAGGGTTTGGAGCTTCTTGATGGTAGGAAGACTGAGTTCCGAGAATTGGGCTAAACTAGGGATCGGGAACCAAATAGGAGTGGCAGAATTCGGCGGTTGGGGAAAAGAGCTTCAACTGGCAGTTGGAGGTATGGACGGCAGGTGGGATAGGTGAGACTTAGGTGCGCAGTGAAGCACAAGGGAGTGGAGATGCCAGAAGAGTACTGGGAAGCAAACTAAGAACACTGCGTGCCGGTTTCCCCGCGCTCTCCATTGACGCCATGGTGTGGTAACCTTCAGCCCTTCCTGTATACTGTGGGATCTGGTGCAGGGAGGGAAGCGTGTGTCTGAGAACAGAATGAACAATATGGATTAGGTGAGGATGCTTCGGCGGGGGGCCGGGGATCTTAGCTACACTTTAGGAGAAAAAAAGCAAACTGAGGACACGGCCAGTCTTCCGATTTATGACTGGACCTCGGAGTCCCTTCCATTGCTCCCGCAGGCTGGTGTCGCTATGGGTTCCACCGCAGCCACAGAGGGAGCCCTGGGCTATGTTCGAGAGTTCACTCGCCATTCCTCCGACGTACTTGGCAATCTGAATGAGCTGCGCCTGCGCGGAATACTCACTGACGTCACGCTGCTGGTTGGCGGGCAACCCCTCCGAGCACATAAGGCGGTTCTTATCGCCTGCAGGTTCTTACCTCTGGAGGGAATGGGGCTCCTGGATTGGGGCGTGGCCAGAGGGGAATGGGGAAGAGCCATAAGGCAATCTGGAGGAATTTGAAGCTAAACCCAGATAAGCATGAGGTGCAGCTTTCTGGAATTGGGGCGTGGTGATAGTGAGGGAGGCGGGGCTTCTTAGGGGTGAGACTTTCTACAGTGGAGTGAGTCGGCCTTGGTTTCCCTAACATGATATATCTTCCCTCTAACAGTGGCTTCTTCTATTCAATTTTCCGGGGCCGTGTGGGAGTAGGAGTGGACGTGCTTTCTCTACCTGGGGGCCCCGAAGCTGGAGGCTTTGCACCTCTTCTGGATTTCATGTACACTTCGCGCCTGCGCCTCTCTCCAGCCACAGCCCCAGCAGTCCTTGCAGCTGCCACATACTTGCAGATGGAACATGTGGTCCAGGCATGCCACCGTTTCATCCAGGCTAGGTGAGGAAGCCTTGGCTCAGTGGTCAGCGTGGCTAAGGTGATGTCCCCAACAAGTATCAAGGGCGGAGGCCAAGGATAGCCAACAGCACTAATTTCTATTGCACTTTCCCCAGCTATGAACCTCTGGGCATCTCCCTGCGTCCGCTGGAGGCAGAGGCTCCAACACCACCAACGGCCCGGCCACCAGGCAGTCCCAGGCGCTCCGAAGGCCACCCAGATCCACCTACTGAGTCTCGAAGCTGCAGTCAAGGTCCCCCCAGTCCAGCCAGCCCAGACCCCAAGGCCTGCAACTGGAAAAAGTACAAGTTCATCGTACTAAACTCCCAGGCCTCTCAAGCAGGGAGCCTGGTGGGAGAGAGAAGTTCTGGTCAACCTTGCCCCCAAGCCCGGCTCCCCAGTGGAGATGAGGCTTCTAGTAGCAACAGCAGCAGTGAAGAAGGACCCATTCCCGGTTCCCAGAGCAGGTACAGAATCTGGAACAGAGTTTATAATAAAGGCTGGTCTCAGCTAGGAGGCAGAGTCATTGAGTCTGTGTGGTGAGGAGGCAGGGAGAGAGGGGAGCAGATCATCAGAGATTCTAGCCCACTTTGCCATCCCTAGTTAATGCATTTGGCTAAGAACTGAAAGGTTGGAGGTTCAAGGCCACCCAGAGAAAGGTCTGGAGATCTAATTCCAAAGAATCAGCCATTGAAAGCCCTATGGAGCAAGTTCTATGACACACAAGGTCACCATATGTATTAAAAGCCACTCGAAGGCAAATGGTAGACAACCTTAGGGAGTGAAGCCAGGTTTACTCAGTGGGCAGGACCTTGGCAGAACAATTGGGTATAACTCACCTCCAAAAGGTAGGCTCCAAGTTCTTCAGGGGGAACTCCCTTTGAGCGAATCTATCCTAGCTATTTTCTCTGGACCTTGTCATTGTTTAGGCTTTCTCCAGTTGCTGCCACCATACAGTTCCAATCTGGGACTCCAGCTCAAACCCCCCATCTCACACCCCAGACTCAAGAGACCATTGGATCACCCTCTGAGCAGGCTCATCAACCTCCAGGTCAGAGTCCCATCTTCTCCATCTTTGACTTTTCCTCTGTGTCTGTTCCAAGCCACTTTGGGCCAAAATGTCCCTGGAAAGACTTACTGCAATGGTTCCTAAACTTTATTCAAATTAGGATTACCTGGGGAGCTTTTAAGTCTTGCCACATCCCATAGATCAGAATGTCTGGACATGGGAGCCAGGCATTAGTAGTATTAAAGTAAGAAGTAAAGCTTGGGAACATGTAGCCATGCAGGATCTTGAGTTGTCTGCCCAGGGCTTGGCAGATTATCATCAGAGTGGTGTAGAGAAGAGAGTGAAACAAATCTGTTCCCACTGGTAGGGGTCTCCACTGACCCCTACCACCATTAGAGAGGAGATGAACAAGGTACACTACATAGAACTACACAGAACTCCAGATCTTGGTTCATCCTCTTCCTAACCATGTGGCCTTGGGCAAGTTAAATGAGCCCTAGAAGCCTTAACTCTAAATTAAGAAAAAGAAAACCTACCAATGTGTGGTTTGAGGATTCACTGGTATTGAAGAAGCATTCAGTAAATAACTATTGTTATCATTACTCACCTCCTTGCCCAGGAAGGGATTTTTTTAGTTGCCAGAATTGTGAGACTCTGACTAGGTGCTCATCGGGGCTGGACCACTTGGCTCCTGGGGAGGAGGACAAGCCCTACAAGTGTCAGCTCTGCCTCTCTGCCTTCCGTTACAAGGGCAACCTCGCCAGTCACCGCACTGTGCACACAGGTAGTATTGAGCAGGGAGGAGAGGGCTTTGTGGCCGTTCTGACCACAGGTGTCTTAGGGCAGAGTCCCTGATTTGCCTTCCTCACTGCTCCCCAGGAGAGAAGCCCTATCACTGCTCCATCTGCGGAGCCCGCTTTAACCGGCCTGCGAACCTGAAGACACACAGCCGCATCCACTCAGGCGAGAAGCCCTATAAGTGTGAGACGTGTGGTTCACGCTTTGTCCAGGTACGGAGCCAGCCCAGGAGCAAATTCAAAGGTAGACATGCAGGAAGGAGGGAGGGCCATATCTGGAGGGTTCTGTTTTTCCCAGAAGCACCATCTGAAGTCTCCTCTCCTCCCAGGTAGCACATCTGCGTGCTCACGTGCTGATCCACACTGGGGAGAAACCCTATCCTTGCCCCACCTGCGGGACTCGGTTCCGCCACCTCCAAACCCTGAAGAGCCACGTTCGCATCCACACGGGAGAGAAACCTTACCACGTGGGTAGCTGGCATGACCTGGCCCAAAGCTGTAGAATGACTTTCCATTAGCCCAGGGCTCTGAGAGGAGCAGAGCTTGGCAATCCATAGGTCTCTTAGAAATAGCTAGTGCCTGGAGAGGATTCCTTGTTACTAAGGAGCCCAGATGTTGATGTTGTTGTTAGGTACCATCGAGTCAGTACTGACTCATAGCGACCTTATGCACAGCAGAATGAACCACTGCCTGATCCTGGACTAACCTCACTATTGTTGCTGGGGAAGGATAAATAATATAGAAGTTAGGCTCCTAGATGGGGCAAGTAGTTTTTTTTTTTTTTTCTCCTTACAGTGTCTAAGCAAACAAAACCCAAACCCATTGCTATGGAGTAGATTTGAACGTATGGTAACTCGGTGTATACAGAGTAGAACTGTGCTTCATACAATTTTCAAGTCTGACCTTTTTGGAAGCAGATTGCTAGGTCTTTCTTCAAGGATACCTCTAGGTGGGTTTGAACCCACAACCTTTCATTGGGTAATCAAGTGCTTAATTGTTTGTGCCACTAAAGAACTCATTAGTTGGTGGCAAGGTTGTGTTGTTGTTAAGTTCCATCGAGTCGGTTCCGACCCATAGCGACCCTGTACAGGGTTTCCGAGGGTGTAAATCCTTACGGGAGTAGAAAGCCTCCTCTTTCTCCCGCGGAGCGGCTGGTAGTTTCGAACCACTGACCTTAAGGTTCGCAGCCTGATTCGTAACCACTACGCTACCAGATCAGTGGGAAAACCTTTGCTGAATTAGATGGGGTCTGTCTCCTATACTGCCCTTGGGAATTTGGGAGGGTAATGGGGTCAAAGGGCTTCTTATGTGACTGAACTCAAGACCTAAAAAGTGGATGGGGAGGGAAGAACTGACTCTGTTCTCCCACAGTGCGACCCCTGTGACCTGCATTTCCGGCACAAGAGTCAACTACGACTGCATCTGCGCCAAAAACACGGAGCTGCCACCAACACCAAAGTGCACTACCACATTCTGGGGGGTCCCTAGCTGAGGTGGGCCCAGACCCCACTCACCTCCTGGGAGCCAGGATGCTGCGGGCTCAGGCCTGGCTTCTCCCAGGTCACACTTGGGCATAGGAGTGTGCAAAGCCCCAACCAACGGTATTTGAAACTGCTACCACGTTTGTTTCTCACTGGGAAGAGCTGGGGTGGCAGGTCCTAGTTAGACCTGCCTCTGTTTTGCTGGCCAAAACCTCTTCTCCACAATCAAAATTGTCTCTGAAGAGAGAGCAAGCTAGGGAAGAGGAGAGACTGGAGACTTGGTTGCCTTGGGGAACAGCCCTAACCCAAACCCCATCTCATTCAGTTTATGTGTAAATATAATTTATTGAGGCCTTTGGGAAGCACCAGGGCCTTCATTCTATTGCATTTCCCACTTCCCTCTTTCATCAGTGACCCAAAACACAGAAAAGGTCACAGCTCTGCTGGCAGAGATAGCATTTGGTTCTCCCCCTTTGGCTTGAGTATTTTATTATTGTCATAACTTTTACCTGTAGAATTGTTCAGTTTCTTATTTGTGTGCCTGTTGGTTTGTTTAAAAAGGAGAAAGAGGTTCCTCTTGTTCTATCCCTCCATTTCTAGGTCTGGAAACTTTAATTTGCTCCAGTGCAGGTCTGGAGATATACAGGATTTGTAGAACTGGGTCAGGAACCCTCTCTGATATTTTGAATATTGTAAGTTCTCTAGCAGGCTAGAACTGGACCTAGATTTTTCTCTGTTCTTCAGGAGTGACAGGAACCTTTATGGATGAGCCTGAAATGGAAGTAGCAAATGCTTCCTAGAGGCTGTAAGTATGAAGTTTAGTCATCTTTCCTGCAAGGTGATCCAGAACCTAAACTGTCCCACTAATCTGGTCACCTGGGTCTGGCTTCACTGTGGTTCTAAACACATAGTAGAGTTGGCCAGGGGCTTCAGTTGAGCCCATAATCCTCCCAGGGGGGCCTGTTCTTGGCACCAGGTTGATTCTTCCATGGGAAAGAAATCTGATGTAAATTCTGATTTTTCCAGCCTCTAAAAATGTTATGATCTAAGAAGTGAGAATTACAAAAACTCTTTCCCTGGACTGAATCTGAGACCTGACCCATTCTTTACAAGAGGCATCTGGATTTTAAATATTCTATGGGCTTCTTTCTTACCTGAGAGGGGCCCCTCTTTCCTTAACAGATTTTTGGATGTTGTCTGGCAAATATTCAGATTCCAGAAACTTCTCGTTTGCCTCTAGAAGTCACAGGTGCTTGGTAACTTTCTTACCTTAGAAATACTGGGTCTATGACCCAGTATATTTGTTACTGCCTTCCTCTCTGGAACTAGTGAATGCACTAGAACTTTTCCATAAGGAAGAAAAAAGGGCTGAGTTCCATTCTGGAATTGCTGTAGACTATGATTGATATTATTGATGGAATTTAAAGTTTAAAAGGTTTTTTGTGATTTATTAATTGATGGGTCAAAGACCTTTCTATAAAAAGGTATCTCAGTAGGATTAAGTTGGTTGATGGGAACAGTTTCTGGTGTAGGTCAAGGAGGTAGAAAGTTAGGAGTGGGGTTGCTTCATACCTGGGTGGAGTATCTTGAATGTTAGATGATACTTCTTGATTTACAGTCCTGCCCCTTGTTGCCCTGGGCCTTATTTGATTCATGGGGCATGGAGCCAGAGATAAAGTGCACTTCTCAAATTGTGGGGTAAAGCTTCCTCAAGATAAGTCAGCACTAGTGGGTATCACTTGGGGCCTTGTGAGAAGGCTACTCTTAACCCTTTTTCCCTCTAGCTTCCCAATTACTACATTCTAGAACTGGAGAAGGAGAGAGGGAAAGCAGAGGGGAGATGTGAGAAGGAACTATGGTTTTTCTTTAGCAGATTGAATAGTCAGGTGGAGAATGCCTGGGGGATGAAGCCACAGTTGAGATGTTAGATCTTGCAAAATCAGATTCTTGGAATAAAGAAGCCTCTCAATGTTGTCTGGTGTGTCCTGGGTCTTTCCTATTGGGGATGCTGGGAGCTTGGGGTAGAGGACTCTCCTCCTGGATGCTCTCTTGGATTCTGTGCCTGTTGTACTATCCCATCCCACCAGATATTTTAAATGGTCCTTGCTCACCCCCTCCCTGCCTTTGCCTTCCGGCTCATTGTGTAGGGACCTGTGACTTCATGAAGTTTCTCCGGAGCCACCTGCATCCTGCTGCTCTGAAATCACTTCCTGCCTGAGGTGTGGAGGCGTCAGGGAGAAAGCAGAAACCCACCAAATAATACCAAGAAACTGAGGGATGAGTCTATGCTGGGAAACTTAATGCTTGGGACCCACCACCTCCAGGGAATAGATGAAGTTGGGGAAATGGATTGGCTATGGGTCCTGTGAGGATAACAGGAGCTGGAGGGGGCTATGTAGATAGAAACAGTATGCCAATTTCACCTGCCTAGCTTGGTTTGTGTCCAATGCACATTGCCTACTCCTCTTCTTCCCTTTCCCCTGTCCTGTGTGTACACTGGACACACAAATCTGTGCCGTCAAGTCGGTTCCGACTCATAGCAACCCTGTATAAGGTTCTGAGGAGTGACTAGGAAGCTTGAACCACCGACCTTGCAGTCTAGCACATTAACCCGCAGCACCACACCAGGGAAGAAAGTGACTAATTCTAATATGGTATTTCCTTTGGCCTTAAATTTCTTTACTGCGAGGTAAGTCAGTTAACATGGTCTCTGAAGTTCCTTTCAGAATTAACAGTTGCAGTTGTTAAAAGATTTCTCAATCTTTTAAAACTCATGACCTGAAAGCTAAACTACTGCATTTTATCTGGTAGAAAATTTTTTAGAAAACAGTTAATATCACTTTATCTCCTACTACAGACCTGTCCCTAAACTAAAGCATTTTCATGAATGATTTTCTAATTCAACTGCCCCCTTCAGCAACAACCCTAAAAAACAACAGTGACAACATTTCTGCACTTAGAGCATATTCCCCACCAAAATTTTGGCTCTACTTGCACACAAAAAAAGTAGCATTATTTTATTTTTCCCATATAAAATTATAAGGCTCAGACGGCATTAAAAAAACAAAACTATGTAACTTCCCTCTTCTATCTTTTTTTGTTATGTTTTTCCCCACTGGTTTGGGTATGAATCCTTAAGTCCAAGGTTTCAAGGTTCTGAAGAACTTCAATTGTAAAGAGGAAGACCAATGTCTGTGGTTCAAGCTCACCAGCTGCTTCTCAGAAACCCTATACAGAGTTGTTATGAGTCGGAATCGACTCAACATCACTTAACAACAACAAACCATAACATTAAAAAAAAAAAAAAAATGATGTGGTTAGGAAGTTGCTAGCGGGCACAGGAAAACGTTCCAGCCCCACTGAGGAAGGGATAGGTGGTGGGAGGGGGGCCCTTGGTGAACTGACAACCGCCCTTCCTCTCAGTTATTTTTGGTCTCTGTGACCTGTAGGTTTCCTGTTGGTAGGAACTGAATCGAGAGTTTCCACTAGGAACCCACCAGCCCCTTCTCTCTTCTCTTGCCCATTGAACCCCTCAAAGATTCAGTGATCTAGGCATCTAGATTGTAGCTGAGTCATTAGGTTAGGAGCTCCTTATGGGTCTCATAATCCCTCTTCCAAGGCCTTGCAACTCCTGGGCCCCTCATTAAGCAACTGAGCGCTTTTCATTCCTGAATGAATTTACCCATCAGTCCCCTTCAACTTCCCACTTGATTTTTTACATGAGACTGAAATTTTAAGATTAGCAACTGCCTAGTAGGGTCTTGGAGGAGAATATTTAAAGTGTCATGGGCTGCCAAAAGAACTAATAGACCGTTTTGGAAGAAGTACAGCCAGAGTGCTCCTTAGAAGCCAAGATGGCCAAACTTCGTCTCTCATACTTTGGATATATTGTCAGGAGGGACCAGTCGCTGGAGAAGGATATCATGTTTGGTAAGGTGGAGGGTCAGAGAAAAAGAGGAAGACCCCCAATGAGATGGATTGGCCAAGGGCTGCATCGATGGACTCAAGCTTGGCAACAGTAGTGATGTTGGCCCAGGACCAGGCAGTGTTTCGTTCTGCTGTACATGAGTCGGTTCTGCTGTGCATGGGTCGCTATGAGTCGGTACTGACTAGTTGGCACCTAACAACAACAACAGTAGGGTCTTGAGCCCTGGGCCTTGCGTCCCTATCCCTTCGTTAAGTGGCTAGTGGGTTTGAACCGTGGACCTTTGCTTATCCTACCCACACAGGTGTGATGTGCTGTGGCTGTAAGTGTTTACCGGAGTAGAAAGCCTCATCTTTCTTCCAGCAGTTCAACCAGTAGTTTCGAACTGCTGACCGTAAGATTAGCAGCCCGAAATAACCGCTACGCTACCAGAGCTCCTTAGGACTCTCATCTGTTGTTAAGGGCCATTGAGTCAGGTCCGAATCATAAAGACCCTGTATAGGGTTTCCGAGGAGCGAATGGTGAGCTTGAACCACTAACCTTATGGTTCAAACCGATTTCGCAGTCCAACGCATTAGCTCACAGCGCCACACTAGAATTCTCATCGAATCGTCCGCTAAAGCTCCTTTACGCATGCGCTCTAAACACCGCCACCCCCCACCCCCCCAACAAATCCTGCAGAAGTAGGTCCTAAACCCTGCCCTACCCTTCTGCCCCACCCCTTGCTCAGGAGTACCACGTCCTTATTGGTGAGCAGTGGACCAGGATGGGCCAGGTGCTTACAACTCCAATGATAAAACAGATTATCCAAAGGGAGACTGGCGTGCCGTGGAGGTGTGGCCTAAAGTCAGCCCTACCCGCCGGCTCCTTAGCGTTAGCTTTCAAAGCTAGGCTCGCGGAGCCACGCCCCCAGCCCCTTAGAGCGCGGCTTGCGCGGGCCAGTTCTTCCCTCTGGCTACCCCCTCTCGGAGAAAGACGCAGGCGTCTGTCACAGATTCTCGGCAGCTTTCAAGCCCACGTCACTGCCTTCCTCTTTACCACCTCTCCTTTCCCGCTTGGCCCCGAGCCGCCAGGCTGGGTGGCTCTTTGGGTGGGCAGAGGTTGGGTGCCTGGGTGGGTGGGCTCAGCCCTGGAGCCCGGTATCTGAGTAGCAGCAGCCCTGTTACCGTCCGATGGCGCGCAGGGCTGAACCTCCAGACGGGGGCTGGGGTTGGATGGTGGTGCTATCAGCATTCTTCCAGTCGGCGCTGGTGTTCGGGGTGCTCCGCTCCTTCGGCGTCTTCTTCGTGGAGTTTATGGCGGCGTTTGACGAGCAGGCGGCGCGCGTTTCCTGGATCGCCTCCATAGGAATCGCGGTGCAGCAATTTGGGAGTGAGTGCTGCACCTGGGTCCAGACTCTGTCCCTTGGAAGGGAGAGGGGATGCGGGGACAGGGCAGGGGCGGATGCTGGGGAAGGACGCCTGGGATCTCGGGAAAACCCTACCTTTTCCCCAGGCCCAGTGGGCAGTGCTCTGAGCACGAAGTTCGGCCCCAGGCCCGTGGTGATGACCGGGGGCGTTTTGGCTGCGCTGGGGATGCTGCTCTCCTCCTTTGCTACCTCCCTAACTCACCTATACCTGAGTATTGGGCTGCTCTCAGGTGAGATTCTGGGCAAGAGCAGGATCTTTGTTCTGTGAACTTTCACATGCTTCCTGTTCCTTCCGAAAGGCTTAGGGGAAAGTATGGCTGGCATTTATGCCCAGAAGGGAACTACTAGGGAGATGAGTGCATTGATAAGCAAGGTAGGGAAATTAGGGAAGTAAAAAACGAGGAATAAGAGTCAGGGCTAGCGGGATTGAAATGTAGAAGGAAGAACTATAATAAAATCATGCCAGGTTCTGTGGTTGTGAAATAAGTACATATTTACATATGAATAAAGGCTTTGAATCTTGGCAAATGAAGGTCGTACAGCCAGAAATAGTAGAGCATGAATCGAACTCCAAATTTTTGTGCTAGTTATTTTACAAGCATTATCTCTAACCTCCACAATCCCATGGGATCTATTGTCCCCATTTTGTAGATGAGAAGATTGAGGCTGAGAGGTTAAGTAAAACACACAGCTAGGTAAATATCAAAAGCAAGACTTTGACAGAGGACTTCCCAGCCTCCTAAATCAGTGCTGCTGTGCAAAACACACAAGTTTACACAGCTGTGAAGTATCAAAACCAGGACTTTGAAACTCAGATCAGTGCTACATTGTGTTGCTGAGCAATGTTGGGATTATGGAGGTGGGAGGAGCTGGGAGACTCTGAGACACTGGCACACCCCCCCCCAAGCCCCTCACTCCTCATTTCTTCCTTTTTGGCAGGCTCTGGCTGGGCCTTGACCTTCGCTCCAACCCTGGCCTGCCTGTCCCGTTACTTCTCTCGTCGTCGATCCCTGGCCACAGGGCTGGCACTGACCGGTGTCGGCCTTTCCTCCTTTGCCTTTGCCCCCCTCTTCCAGTGGTTGCTCAGCCAGTATGCCTGGCGGGGGGCCCTGCTGCTGGTATCTGCCCTCTCCCTCCACCTGCTGGCCTGTGGCGCTCTCCTCCGACCCCTCTACCTGTCTGAGGACCCTGTTGTGGGTGGCCCTCGGGCCCAAATTGTCTCCCTGCTTCATCATGGCCCCTTCCTCCGCTACACTGTTGCACTCACCATGATCAACACTGGTTACTTCATTCCCTACGTTCACCTGGTGGCCCATCTCCAGGACCTGAATTGGGACCCACTTCCTGCTGCATTCCTACTCTCAGTGGCTGCTATTTCTGACCTTGTGGGAAGAGTGGCTTCTGGGTGGCTGGGGGATGCAATCCCAGGGCCTGTGTCCCGCCTTCTGATGTTTTGGACCACCCTGACTGGTGTATCACTGGTCCTTTTCCCCATGGCTCAGGCTCCCACAGCTCTGGTGGCTCTGGCTGTGGCTTACGGCTTCACATCAGGGGCCTTGACCCCAGTGGCATTCTCCATACTGCCTGAACTGGTGGGGACTGGAAGGATATACTGTGGCCTAGGATTGGTGCAGATGGTAGAGAGCATCGGGGGGCTGCTGGGGGCCCCCTTGTCAGGTAAGAGGAATGAGGCTCCCTGGTGGGTCAGGGTACCATGTTACACAATTGGAGGGAATACTATTCACATTTGACTGTATGTGAATGCCATCCCCAGTAGTGTACAGTACACAGCCTGCAAGGCCATTCCTACCCTGAAATGAACCCATGGGGCAAAGAAAACTCAGGCTGGGAAATGGAGTGGAAAGACACAGATAAGTGTAACCCTTGGCAGGGTGCCCACAACGTGGACTTTCAGAGGACCTGGCTGGAATTGGTCACGTTTAGCTTGCCACAGCATATCTTCCCCTTGGCCCACTGGGCCCCAACCCAGATGTCTGAGCCATCTGGTCAAAGTTCTGGCTCAAGATGCAAGAACCTTCAGACCCTTAACAATTTCTTCGTAACTATTAACTGAAAATGGAAAAGGGTCACTGTAACTAGAAAAAAGGTACAGATGTGACTGATTCCATCTGCTCCCTCCCCCCCCCCCCAAATCCTCACTGGCTAGTTTGGATGTTCTTTCTGAAAACAAGAAAGGATTTGAAAGTACCTTTTTGAGGCCCCTTGTGAAATGAGTTCTGCATTCAATCCTACCTTTGGAATTCAACTCTTCCAAGATAGATGAATTAAGGCTCATTTTCTTGCCTCCAATCAAAAAATGTATCTTAGTCCTAAGCCCCAGGTAACAGATCACCCATGTGTCTTCTTTCTCTTTTGAGCCTAGGTCACCTCCGGGATGTGACAGGCAACTACACAGCTTCTTTTGTGGTGGCTGGGGCCTTCCTTCTTGCAGGCAGTGGAGTTCTCATCACCTTGCCTGGCTTCTTCTGCTTTTCACCACCTACCTCCAAGTCCCAGGACCCTGTAACAGAGGCCCTGGATACCAAGACCCCCTTGCCCAAGGAGAGTTTGGAGGAGGACTGAACTCCAAGGAAGGGCAGTCAGGCCCAGAGACCCAGAGCTCCAGGTCTTTTCCTGACCCATCTTGGTCCCCATGGAGCCACAGTGCCTTAAACCTCGTGACCTGCCTTCCCAGATTAGATCTGTGATATGGTGCCAACCCTTTGTATTATGTTTAGGACTCTTATCTCATCTCAGATTTACCAACATTTTCTGAAGGATCCAGAGTCCAGCCTGCCCCACTGAGTTGTGAACAACTGTGAAAATCAAAAGTCAAGAGGGCTTATCATGTTTTACATGTTTTCTGTAGTGTTGCCTCTAAGTTTCTTCTCTGAAGACAGCGAGGTTTGGGAAGCAGGAATGTCCCTTTGAGATAAAACTGATAAGGAAACTGGATAATGATCATAACCCCAAGCAGAGCTAGGACCCATCTGCTTGACTGGGTTAAAAGGAGTCATGGCTAGGGCTTGCCTTTGAACCCTGAACTTGGCTCTCTGAACTTCCCACTCCATCCCATTATTCCTGTTTCTTAGAAAAGAAATTAAGACACTAGTTGGAGAGAGAACTTGGAAGGAGATACTGGGATTCCTGTATTTCGCTCAGGCCAGTAGAAGTTTGAAATGTAGACAAGTTAGTTTGAGAGGTCTGGATACTCGGGTAAGGGTGGGACAGATGGCACACATGAGCACTCCTCTCCTCCAATGGACTGGCAGACAACTTTTCAAAGGTTCTCCACTATGGTGATAAGGATATGGGGAAAGAAGATTCAACAGGCTGGACAGACACATGCTTGCCCCCGTCCTTCAAGGCCTACTGGAATCCTCTTCCTTTCAACCAGGCTTTTTGAGTGTCGTAAGTAGAATGTTTCTAGGGCCCTTGGTTGCCTAACAGTGGAGTTTGCAAGAAAAAGAAAAAAGAATAGAAATTCTTTATTAGGGTAGGGGCTCACACAAGAAAATGATCAACAAGCAGTATCTCGAGTAGGGTGTGGGCCTTTCGCGGATAGCAGAGCAGCCTGGGGAATGGGAAGCAACTCCCCCATCTCAGGGGGTGGAGTGGCTGGACGGGAAGCTGGACCACAGGAAGGCAATGCCCGGGGCAGTCCCATGTAGATGAAGCTCCCTGAGAGAATGAAGGAGCCACACACAAGAAAGGAAGCCGTGAAGTCTCCAGTCTCATCCCTTAGGAAGCCTGAGAGGAAGGGTAAAGGAACTTAGAAGACCTCTGACCCCAGGGTCAGGGGAAAGCCAGGAATGGGTCTGCTGGCTAAAGCCCTTACCTGACATGGGAGGGCCCAGGAGCCCCCCGAGGCTCATCAGCATCATCACCAGCCCAGTGGCTTGCACAACACCTCCGAGGCCCACCAGACCTGGAAGCACCCCGAAAACCAGCGGGGCATAACTTCCGGCGCTCAACCCGTAAGCCGCAGCTGCAGCCAGGAGGGGCCCGCCCCAGCCCTCACCCCCCATCACCGGCACCAGCCCCACCGCCAGCAGTCCCAGGCCTGTCAGAGCCGCAAACACTGCCAGCAGCCGCGGGAGAGGCACCCAACCCTGGTCAGCCAGCCACCCACTCACCAGGCGGGCGCCCGCATCGCCCACCGCAGCCACAGCCACCACCAGCGCTGCCCCATACCCGCCCAGGCCCCTGTCTAAGGCGTGGGGGGCCAAGTGTACGTAGGGGATAAAATATCCGCCCCCCACCAGAGCCGTTCCCAGAGCAAAGACCGAAAAGGTAGGGCGAGTGAAGAGTCCCAGGCCTAGGGCTGCGAGGGGCCCGCGAGAGGAAACTGGAGGGTCGTTGGAGAGTGCCAGGGGTCGCAGCAGGGCCCCACAAGGGGCGAGGTGGAGAGTGATGGCGCCTAGGAGGAGCAGGGCGCCCCGCCAGCCAAAAGTGTCAAGGAGGAACTGCAAGGCTGGCGCCAGGACCAGCGAGGCAGCTCCATTGCCGGTAAGTGCCAGTCCCACGGCCAGAACTCGACGGCGCGAAAAATAACAAGAGAGGGTGCCCAAGGCAGGGGCGAATACCAGGGCCCAGCCAGAGCCTGCGTAAGATAGGATGGGGTGAGGGTAGGGATGCCTACCCAGCATTCCCAGTCATGCTCCCCGCAGCAGACCCCACCCTACTCCTGTCGCCGCCACCTTTCACCCCCTTAAGAATCCCGACATTTCGTTCTCCCCTCACCAGCGAGGAGGCCCAGGCCAAGGTAGAGGTGCAGCAGGCTGCGGGCGAAAGCCGAGAAGACGAAGCCGAGAAAGGTGAGGATGCCTCCAACCATCACCACTGGACGCGCCCCCCAGCGGGTGCTCAGGGCACTGCCCACCGGGCCTAAAGGGGGTGGAGTTAATGAAAGACGCTCCTGGACCCCCAAACTCGACCCAACACTTCTCATTGGCTGTTTGCCTAACCTGAACTCCTCCCCCGGCCTACTAGCTCCTCCTCTTGACCACCAACACCTGTTTTCTCGGGAGCTAAGTTTCACGCCAGTGGCGCTTTCTCAGGGTGGTCAGGTCATCAGGCAAGTCCCCCACCACTGCACTCACGGCCTCTCCACCCTCGTTCCCGCCTCCCACTGGGGACCCCCCTCACTGGCTGCCTGCTGTACGGCCAGGGCCAAGGCGCTGACCCACGCAGTGTCCTGAGCGCTTCGGTCAAAATGCTCGGCGAAGTCAGGGAGGGCAAGGCCCAGGGAGCGCAACATCCCGTACGAGAGCCCATTCACCGCGAAAGCTGAGGCCGCGACCACCCAGCCCCAGCCCCCGTCCGGGGGTCCGGTCGGCTTGGGGGTCATCGCCGTCTGCGAGGGTGAAGAAACACCTGTGAACGAGGTCTCCCACTCTGTGCCTCCGCTAGGGACTTGGCATCCCTGAGATTCAGGCTGTAGCTGCCAGCCCGGGGTGGGCACGTCACCGTGAGACGACAAGGAGGGGCGGGGGGAGCCAGAGAACCAGGCCTGGGGATGGCGCTTCTGGGTCCGCGCGAGTTACTGAGTTAACCGGGGCGGGAGCAGTCGGAACCCTCAGGCCTGGGACTCCCCCCACCCCACTCCTACACATCCTTTCCCCCTTACCCGACCTCTCCAGGTGGTGGGGGAGGGGAAGGGCGAGGAAGGTTCGGCCGGGTTGTCGCCCTGGAGGGGATCAAGGGCCGTGAAGGAGCCGAACTTGAACGGGATCTCTCGGTAAACAGAGATCACCACAGGGGCCTGAGCCACCTGGGGACGAAAGGGGTACAGAGGGCGGGGGGTGAGCTGAGACGACCAATCCGCGGAGCTGCGGGTGAGGCGAGACGCAGAGTCCCACGGGGATTGAATTATCCACACACACCCACAACCCCCAGGAAGGGAGCGGCGCCCCGCCCCGTTCACGCCCACGCACCTGAGGGCTCCTGCCCTTGGCTCAGACCCGTGAACTGCAGAGCCCACCCAGCAAGGTCTGGGGCAATAGGTAAGGCGTGGAGATAGGGGTGGCACGGCCTACAGCCTCAGAATCTAGCAGGTTGTATTCCCAGGGAACGCTGCTGAGGGCCAAATAAATTTGGGATATCAGAATGCAAACCTCCTTTGAGTGCCTGCTTCGTGCTCAATAACATGGCCATAAGATGGAGACACCCCCATTATGAGGACCTGTGATGGTCCACACCCTTTTACATGCCATCTTCTAAATATGTTGTCTTTTTATCCTCACAATAACTTTATGAAGAAGGTGTTCTCCCTATTTTAAGAATGAAGTAATGAAGACTCGAGAGATTAGGTGACTTGGTCAAAGTCATCCAGCTAAAAACTTGTAGTAGAAATATTTGAACGTGGGTAGTTTCAACTGCGGGACCATACAGGGTGAACACAAACAGGACTGACCTTGAATCTATGATCATTGAGGGGCATGGTCTGGAGGTAGCTTGATACCCAACTGCCCTGAAATGGGATGAGCTTTTACAGGGCTTGTGATTCTCAGAAAGGGGTCACTGGGGGGTAGAAAAGGAGCCCCTGGACATGCAAAAAGCTAAGAGTTTGGCTGGCTGCTAACCAAAAAATTGGAGGTTTGTGTACATCTAGAGGTGCTTCGAAAGAAATAACTGGTGATCTACTTTGGAAAAATCAACGCTACGGAGCACAGTACTACTGTTGACACACATGGGGTCACTATGAGGCAGAATCCACTCGGTGACAACTGCTTTGGTTTTACTGGTTTGGGGATAGAAAAGATCACTTCTATCAGAATTTCTGAAAAGTTTGAACTAGAATTTTTAAAATAAGAAATAAAGAGAATTAAACATAATGATTTCTTGCAAAAACTTAGGAAAGTATCCTTTTTTATGGGTGAATTTGGTTTTACTTTAACTATTTAAATCAAGAGATGTGGTCTTTGAGCTAATTATTAAACTATGTTATAAAATTTGGCAACTCAAGTTTGAAGTTGCATTAACTGGAAGCCACATGGTGGCAGTGTTTCCTAAAATATCTTCACATAAAGAAAAATCACTGAAGTGTGAAACTGGGGATTATTTTGGCTCTGTAGGAGAAACACTGAACTGTTAACTACAAGGACAGCAGTTCAACCCCACCAGCTGTTCCACAGGTGGAAAAGATGACACTTTCTGTTCCTGCAAAGAATTACAACCTGGAAACCCTATGCAGGGTCCTTATGAGTTGGAACCAACTCGATGGCACTTAACAAGTGTGAAAGTAAACCTAGAAGGTACAGTATGGCTTTCTATGGTCTCCACTGCCTATTGGAAAACTAAGAAATTTCTTTACTTGGTGTATAGGCTTTTCACAATCAAAAGTGCACTCAAGCTACCTTTCCATCCATCCACTCTCCCTCCTCCCTCTTGAGCCCATACATCAGCCATTAGTTTCTCACCTGCTCAAGGGAAGCACCAGACTTTTCCTCCGTCCTGGATTTTTGCATTTGGCATGCTGTCTGTCTGCTTGAAATGCCCTGAATGGGGTACAGGAGCCTATGAAAGCTTAAGGGCCTGCCACGTACACTCTAGGAAAGTGGCCCCACCGGTTTCGACAGTAAGGGATACTGTTTCTGAAAGGCCACCAGGGAGGTGGAGCCAGAGTGTACTCAGAAACCCCAGGGTGCCATTCTAGGAGTCATTTCCTGAGAAGGCTAGTAGAGGACTCTGTCTTTAATTGGATAAGGAAACTCAGATGATTCCATCTCCCGTGAAGTAGAAGTACAGGCTGTCTTCGTTTTTTCAGTGCTCTGAAACAGGAACAGTGGGTAGTTTTAAAGAACAGAAATCTATTTTCTCATAGGTTCAGAGGCTAAAAGTCTAAGTTCAAGGCTCTGGCTCTAAGGGAAGGCTTTCTGTCAGTTCTAGAAGATTTATTATTCCTGATTGTTGGGATTTAGGCCCAGAAAGGAAAAGCCTACTTTGTTGCCAAGAGACTGAAAAAAACCAACCAGGACCCAATCTGAGAGACATTAGTTTATTACGTAAGAGACGTGTGCCAACAGGAACTTACAAAGGATGGCTGAGGACCACTGTCTCCAGTGGCAGCTGGCTACACAGTTAAGTTTTTCCACACAAGGGGCATGGACTAGGGTCGTTTTATATCATGGGGTATACAAACTTCTCACTTGTCAGAGGAGCTAAGGGTGGTATGCAGAACACTGAAAAGGTAGGAAAGCCACAAGGTACTAGGCTGCCTGCCCCTTCCTAGAGAACAGAGTTTTGTCTATATATACATAGTGGGAGGAGGGAGCTGTCAGAGAAGGGGGCTGTCAAAGCCTTCCCAGCATATGCATAACTAAAGCATGAGAACAAAGAGTCTCAGTGTGCCTAGAAGGAGGGAGCTGTCGCTTCCTAGATAGCTGGAGCAGGTGGAAGTGATAGAGATATGGTTTGAGTTGACATTACTGTGGCCATTTTGAAGTTTTCAGCTTGTGCCCCTGCACAGATTCAGAGTTTAATGACTGTGCAGGTCCCACCTCCTCATTTTTGCTGTTCACAGATCCACTGCTCTGAGCTCAAAGGTATGGATGTATAGGAGCTGTTCCTCTTAGCATACCAGCCTTGTCTCTGCAGCAGCCATTTCCCTTCTAACTTAGAGGACACCACCAAGATGTGGACAACTACTCATCTTTCCGTTTTTCATACTGTGATGGCTTGTGTGTTGCTAAGATTCTGGAAGCTATGCCATGGGTATTTAAAATCCTGGTAAGGTCATTCACTGTGGATAGGTTCAGCTGAGCTTCCAGACGAAGATACACTAGAAAGGAGAGACAGACTGCTTCTGAATATTAAGTCACTGAAAACATTATTGTGGGGTAACTGCCCACCAGAATACTAAATACTAAAACATGATGTAGACCACCAGAATACTGTCAGATATAGTGCCAGAAAATGAGCCCTTCAGGTTGGACGGCACTCAAAATATAAATGGGCAAGAGCTGTCGCCTCAAAGCAGAGTTGACCGTGATGACGCAGATGGAGTAAAGCACTCGAGACTGTCATTTGCTGATGAAGTACAACTCAAAATGAAAAGAAACATCTGTAAACATCCATTAATCAGAGTATGGAATGTATGAATCTATGAAAATTGGAAATTGTCAAAAATGGAATGGAAGGTATAAACATCAATATCTTAGGCATTAATGAGTGGAAATGGACTGGTATTGGCCTTTTTGAATCTGACAATCACTTGGTTTACTATGCCAGGAATGACAAATTGAAGAGGAATGGCATTAGTTCATCAGGAAAAAGAACATATCGAAATACAACGCTGTTTGTGATAGGACAATATCCATACACCTACAAGGAAGACCAGTTAATACCACTATTATTCAAATTTACACACCAACCACTAAAGCCAGTGATAATGAAATTGAAGAATTCTACCAACTTCTTCAGTCTGGAATTGATCAAACATTCAACCAAGATGTATTGATTGGAATGCAGAGGTTGGAAACAAACAGGAAGGATCAGTGGTTGGAAAATATGGTTTAAATATGTCATGCTGGATATTGCATGACAGAATTTTGCAAGACCAATGATTTCTTCATTGCAATTACCTTTTTGAAACAACAAAAAAGATGGACCTCACCAGATGGAATAAACAGAAATCAAATTGACTACATCTCTGGTAAGAGATGATGGAAAAGCTCCGTATCATCAGCCAAAACAAGGCCAGGGGCACACTGTGGAACAAATCATCAATTGCTCATATGCAGGTTCAGGCTGAAGCTAAAGAAAATGAAAATAAGTCCACGAGAGTCAAAATATGACCTTAAACATATCCCACATGAATTCAGAGATCATCTCAAGAACAGGTTTGATGTATTAGACACTAAAGACCAAAGATTAGAAGAGTCGTGGGATGACATAAAGAATATCATACAGGAAGAAAGCAAAAGGTCATTAAGAAGACAAGAAAGAAGGAAAAGACCAAAATGGATGTCAGAAGAGACTCTGAAACTTGCTCTCCAGTGTAGAGATGCTAAAACAAATTAAAGAAATGAGGAGGTAAAGAGCTCAACAGAAATTTTCAGAAGTCAGCTCAAGAAGACAAAGCCAAATATTATAATGAAATGTGCAAAGACCTGGTATTAGAAAACCAAAAGGGAAGAATACACTCAGCATTTCTTAAGCTGAGGGAACTGAAAAAAAAAAAAAAAAATTCAAGCCTTGACTTGTGCTATTGAAGGATTCCCTGGGCAAAATATTGAATGATGCAGAAAGCACCAAAAGAAGGTGGAAGGAGGGGGAGTAGTTAATCTTACAGTCCAGAAACAGAGGACCCAGGACCATCAAGGGAGAAATGCACAAGCAGAATGCGGGACCTTATCCAGAGAAGCAGTGACACCAGAGACAGAGGCAGAGATGGGACATGGAGAGAGGGAGCAGCTGAGGACTCTAGATTCATGGGAAGAGAGAGATTGAGAGCTAGCAGCCAGGAGGCAGACTTGCAGAATGTGCCCTCTGGTGGTATAAATTATTATATATGCCTGATTTTTTTTTAAAAAAAAGAGCTAAAATGAAGAGCTAGAAATACTGTTAACCTGTTAACTGATGGTACATGGCGGGGATTATAATCATTGCAGTGGGAAAAAAAAAAAAGAAAGAAAAAGAATGGAAGGAATACCCAGAGTCATTGTACCAAAAGATGTTCACTCATTTCAAGAAGTAGCGTATGATCAAGAATCAGCTACCTGGCCAGTTGATTGGAAGAGATCCATATTTGTGCCCATTCCAAAGAGA